CATTTCTACTCGCAGGAATTAAATCTGTAAAAGTAAACTGTAAACGTTAGATTTAACCCATCCACATAAATCAGTTATTCATATATCAAATTAATTGAAGAATCGGTGAAGATTGAAAAGTGAAGAACCAGTGAATCGTTGTATCTTCTCGAAGACGTCATCGTTTCTGGTTTCTGGGTTTGGATTTCGATTTCCCTAAAATTGAATTATGGGTTTAGGTTTATATTTGGATTTTAATTTCGATTATGGGTTTGAGTTTATATTTGGTTCTTGTCGATGGTGACGCAAAAAGACATCAGAAGATACAATTACAAATATGGGTTATGGGTGTTTGGGTTTATATTTGGTTCTTGGCGATGGTGTAGCAGAAAGACATAGGAAAGATACAATTACAAATCTGGGTTATGGGTTCTGAATTTCGAAACTAGAATTATGGACAATTTTGGGTTTCATATTAAATAGAAGTGGGAGTTCTATTTTAGAGTTTTTACTAAATAGATTGACTAAATATGAATCGCTAATATACATAGAAGTAATATATGTGAATCAGACATAGATATGTCTGTGTTTTCTAGTTATACATAGATCTGTATGTGAATCGGTCTTTAATTGGTAGAATTTTCTATAAATTGACTATTTGTGTATAAAACTTTTGTACATAGTTTGACTATATGTTGTTATTGTACATAGAAGGTCTATTTAATCTATGTCTTCTTTTCGTTTTGTTACAGGGTGTTGTGATGGCAGATTTAGGCTTGTCGGAAAGAATGTTCATGACGGGTTATGAACCTACAGGTCGGAAAATGATAAATGGATATTTCAATCTCAGGTGTATGTCCAGGAGTTCCACTGATTATCATGCTTCAATCGTGTCTCGACCTCCCATTTATGTTTACACAATCCAGTAAGCATATGATTCCTATAATTTTCAATATATTTGTATTTTCTTTATTTAAAACACATTTCAAAATTGGATTTTGATATAGCTCTCTCTGCAATTTCGTTACTAATACTAATGGAATTTCATTGCCAACACCTACTGCAAGCATGCAGACTTGTAACAATTGCTCATCTTCAAGTTTTAGCAAAAAACTATACAATTGAAGCGTGCAAACTGTTTACTTCCCTTTAATCATTACAGAAGAATAGTCGGTCTACAACTCTTTAGGTTTTCTATTTTATAATTTTTTTAGTGGTTAAACTATTTGGACACATGTAAAATTTTACTTTAAAGTGATTAAGTTTGGTTTAATCCCTTCTAAGTTATTAATTCTGATTTTGGTACACTCAGCTTAAGTGTTTATTTTAGTAACACTTATATAAACATAAGTTATATATTAGATAGACTATATGATATAGTTTATGGCATATAGAATACTATGAATTATTCTATTAATTTTAAGTCTGTATATATAATATATGATAAAATAAACTTTAGACAAACTATTAACTATATTTCATGTCATATATAATATTATAAGTTATACTACTAATTTTATCTTTCATTTTTGTCCACAAAATAAATTGGAAAGAAATTAATTCAAAACTTAAATAATATGTCTATGTTATGTTAGTGATTAGAATGTCTATATTGACACAACATGGTAGTAAGCAATGCATACGGCACGTCTGGAAATTTTTTCTCTCTCCAGTTAACAACTTACCGCTCTTATCTGTAAGGGTATTTTTGTCCAAAAAACTTCAACATTGTTACTTGCTTAATTATCTATATTCATAGCTATTTTCTTCATCGATTATTGAATTTTGGTTATTCACTTAATTAACCCTTAATTTAATGGCAACCATGCAAGGTTTTAACGGTATTTGACAAATGGGTTTCTTTGTTAATGGATCCGGTCCTTACTTGATTTTTTTTTTATTAATAATCTAGTTGAAGTAATTAAAATGGATCAACTGAGTGGTTTTATTATCATTAATTTAGTTTACGGGTTTAAAATAGACTAAGTGAATATTCGCATATTACGTGCGAATTTTTTTTCTTCAACTATTTCAAATTCATATATTTTTGTTCTATTAGTAATAAAAATATAGTTATTATTTATTATGTGTTTGTATATTATTATAAATCAATCAATTTTAAATGTAATATTATTAAAAAATTAAATATTTATACAGAAAACCATTAATATTTTTAATTAATTATAACATAAATTCTTATTTAATATTTCTATAAATGTAATTTAAAAATCAATTAATAAAAAACTTTTCATTTTTTGAGTGGTTTAAAATTTAATATTAAATTTATTAATTTTTTTTTATAAAAAAACTGTATTTTTAATTAAAAAAATATAACACATGTCATCTCTATAATAACTCTTTTCAGCCTGATATTTTCTAGCTTGGTTTCTATATCTCGGAGCAGAAATTGACGGTGTCTCCTGTAACACCCCCGACTCGCTCTAGATCCGAATGCAATGACCGGCCACGCAACAATCAAACAAGAACATGCACGACCAATCGTTCGGAACTAAACCGGACCGACGGTGCTACATTTGCACGCACAGATGGCCCGAGGTTCTTGACCGCGCACCAATCAAACAAGAACATGCACATTCAAGAGCCCAAAGTCGATGCCACACGTGCTATCCTACTGGACACGACTCCAGGCTTTTCAACCCAAGGCGTACTCGATGGTTGGTTTGTCCCGGACATGGACTAATATCATATGAGAACCCAAGTTTCATAAAACCTTTATTATTTATATAATAGTAAGGTTCAAAAGGTCTCCACAAAATACATATACAATCCGGCTGGGAGCTCAATGCTCAAAGATAATTATACATACTAAACTCATACTTGTTTTACAAAAGAGTAGCAAACTACAGCGGCCTGGCCTAAGCTCCTTCGGTCCCAACTAACTTCTATTGGTTACCTGCATAGAGTCGTGAGCAATTAATTGCTTAGTGAGTTTGGTTTCCCCTAACCGTTCACGCAATAACCCAAAAATCTCAAACATCACACAAAACATGCATCACACAACAACAATAATCATCACATCAGATGCTTGATAATATATATGTATTATCCATGCATACACCCAATATACACTCAACCGCCAAATCTCTCAGTTGCCATTGACCGGATCCCACATAAATAAAAATCTCACATTTTGCACTAATCGGACCCCCGTCACACAGGCCAAAGGTCGCGACTGTCATCTCTCATGCATCACTCATCGACCCAGAATTTCACAACATTCTCATATCCGTCTCGCAAGCCCAGATATCTCATCACATCTCATGGCTGAGGGAAACGCCACATGACATCAAAACTCACATCTCTCATCCACACGACACTAAAATATGTGTTAGTGCACGTGCCATGGATTCACATCGCAATGCAACACGCAATAAACATATATATATATATATATTCCTACTTGCTTTGCAGTCAAACAACAAACAACCCACACCGAGACTCACCTTGGCTTTCCGAGAAAATGATGGTTTCTTAAGGTTTCAGATAACCTCCTCTTTCACCTACACAACTTAATTTTTACAGAGATCCAACCAGAACCGTGCCAAGCGGAGGTCAGATTCAGACTCAGGATGGAAAACTAGGTTAGGTAGGTAAGACTTCAGACTTATACGACCTACCTTAACATTTTCCGACACGGTGGTTCACGGTGGTTCGCAGTGGTTCATGGTGATCGGCAGCGGCGGTTCATGGTGATCGGCAGTGGCGGTTCATGGTGGTCGGAAAATTTTTCAAGAGCTTCGCTACCGTTTTCTCTCTGCTGGAAAATGAAGTTCAAAGCCCTATTTATAGAGGTAGATGGGCGGTGGTAACAAGATTTCCGAACAACTGTGTCGTGCTTTCGGAAAGATTTCCGAGCAGCTGTGTCGTGATTCTGTGGATAAGCTTCACTGGTGCGTACAAGGCGTACACCGGCGCATGAAAGGCGTACGCTGGCGCATGGAATGCGTGTGTCGGTGTGTGAAGAGCGTGTGCCGGCACGTGCCTAGCGTGTGCCGGAGGTGTGTCCAAGCAGCTCAAGCAAGCTGGCAGGCTGCTGAATCAAGCAACTGAGTCAACAGCTGAGTCACTGAGCAGCTTCCCTTGGCCAATACCTTTTCCGACCCTCCGATCAAACCGAAATGACCAACCAATCCACCTGCGCAACCAAAACCTAACTTCTATGGTTAAAACTTAACATTCTCGACCTCTAACCTTACCTTTATTCTTAATATTCGGTCCTAAACTTTGAGTCCCACCTAAACGGTCCTAATCTTATCAATCGTATATCGGATCATCCTGCCATACTGCCTCGGCCGCTCAGTTGCTCTATACGGGTTATTACATCTCCTCCACTTTGGTCCTTCTAAAACCTCTGCCACCGTCCTCTGTTTTGATATTCCCATGTCAATGAACCCACGATCCCCAAACATCACAAATTACTTCATGCATCATACCAAAAGGAGGCATTTTCTCTTTGAAGATAGAATATTTTTGCATTGTTTGAACATATTTTTATTCAAAAATTAAATTTCAATTTTTATACATGTGAATTAATTATTTGAGTGGATTAAACATGAAGGCTGATCATGATAATAATTGTGGTTTTTTTTCTTAAATGATTTTTTTAATTGCAATTTGAACCTTGATTATTGTATACTATAACAAAATGAATGATTTTAATGGTATATATGTATTTTATGTTTCTTGATGCATGTTACCATACATATTTCGTGTAGCTAACAATCTATTTTTATATCATATTTTTATATTTTTGATGATGTATATTTTTTAAGAGCATAAAAAAATCTGATATCTTAACATATAGAAAATCTTTAGTATTATTATAGTACTGATTAATAAAAATAAAATAAACCTTAAATTTATGTGAGATTTTAAAATGCAAAATAAAATTAGATAATCATAAATAATAGATCAAGGGTTTACTGTTTTTTTTTTAAAAATATATACTAATAGATCATGGGCATTTTATATCAAACTTTGAAACATTAAAAAAAAAGGTGTTAAACCCAGGGCAATCGCCTCACTCGCCATGGGTTAAAGTCGAAACTGGATGTATAGTCCCATGCTTTGAAACCCGTTTCTTGGTTTAGCATGATTCGATACGAGTCATCACAGTCTTCACCAAGTAAGACTTGCAGAGCAACCGCCTCTGCAATGGCTGCACATTCCTCGTCCAATCTCTTTTGTTCCTCTAGCTTTTTTAGCTTCTCCTTCTCTAGCTCAGACCTGACGGCTACAGAAGTAGCAATGGATTTCTCTATGCACATCTTTTTCTTCTCTGCTTGTTTGATACGCTCAAGTTCGTTTCTCTCCTGCTTCATCTTTGCATCATTTTTCCCTTCATCTTCTTCATTTGTTGATTCTTTCTGTCTTTCCTTCTTCTTTTGTTTCTTCTTCTCTATCTCTACTCGGATAGCTGCAGAAGTAGCAATGGCTTTTTCGAGACATCTCTTTTACTTCTCTGCTTGTTTGATTGGGTCAGTTTCATCTTTCACTTGGTTCTTCTTCTTCCCTTTTCTAACAATTGGCTGAGCTTGTTTGTGTTGTTTTTACTTTGTTTTACTTGTTCTGTTTTTCATTTGATGTTTTGCGGATTTGAAAGATTTAGTTTTAGAAATTTTTCTTTCATTTCTTTCTTTCATGATTCCCAAAAGAACACTCTTACAACCTTATAGAAAAACTAACACAACAACTCTCTGAATCTCTCTTACTCCTACCAACAATTACCTACTTCACTTAGAGCATCTCCACCCCTCATACTCATGAGGGGTTGTTAAACATTATTTAATAATAAATTTGACATCTTTAAAAATTAAGAACCTCTTCTCTATTTTTTAAGTCCATTCCTCATACTTATTAAGAGTTGTTAAAATGTTAAATGGGCTGAGTTAATGGGCTAATTTTATAAAAAAAATTCTTTTAAAATCCAAAACGATGTGAACATATTTTCTGGTCCAATTTGTAATATCATCCGACATCAATCCGTAAACCAAATTTTATTGCATTACACATAATTTATAATAGTCAAAACATGAAGATTATACAAAATATATATAAAAGCATTATTAAAATCAGAAATACATGTAATTAGCCAAATTTTGCCAAATATGCTCAATTAAATCGACTTTCAATCTGTGATGTATTTCGTTATCACGAATTTCATTCCGGATGCCGATCATATTGCTAATATTTGTAGACATATTCGTTGAAAACGTCATATTCACCTGTGAAGTTCTGCTTCCTTCTACTTGTTGGAATCCAGATACATCAAACTGAGTGCGATTTTCTCGTTCATTTTCCTCTACCATATTGTGCAATATGATGCATGCTCTCATAATCTGACCTATTTTTTCTTTATCCCATATAAGAGCTGGGTTTTTAACGATAGCAAATCGAGCTTGCAAGACGCCAAAAGCTCGCTCGACATCTTTTCTAGTGGATTCTTGTAGGTTTGCAAAGCATTTTGCTTTCTCACCCTGAGGACGATTAATAGATTGTATAAATGTTGCCCTGTTTGGATAAATACCATCGGTGAGATAGTACGCCATACGATACTTGTGTCCGTTGACCCAATAATTCACTTTTGGGGCTCTTCCTTCTAATATATCGTCAAACACAGGTGAACGGTCAAGAACATTGATATCATTTAAAGTACCTGGCGGTCCAAAAAATGCGTGCCATATCCAAAGATCATATGATGCTACCGCCTCTAACAATTGTCGGTTTTCCTGATCCACGTGTATACTGCCCTTTCCAAGCGGTAGGGCAATTCTTCCACTCCCAATGCATGCAGTCTATGCTTCCTATCATCCCGGGAAATCCACGTACCTCTCCAATATCGAGTAATTGCTGAAGATCTGCTGGGGTGGGTCTTCTTAAGTACTCATCTCCGAACAATTGTATTATTCCTTGTACGAATTTTTCCAAGCATTTAATTGCAGTAGATTCACCAAGTCGGAGGTATTCATCAACCGCATCAACCGCACAACCGTATGCCATCATACGGATTGCTGCCGTACACTTTTGTAGTGCAGAGAGACCAACCCGTCCGATAGCATCTCTCCTTTGCTGAAAGTACGGAATTTCTTGGGAGAGTCGATCAACAATACGCATGAACAAAGGCTTGTTCATTCTAAAACGACGTCGAAATATATGAGGAGGGTATGTAGCATCTTCACTAAAATAGTCGTTCCATAAACGGTTGTGGCCTTTCTTCACGGTTTCTTTCTATATATGCTCGTTTCTTCTTTTGCCTTCTTGCGGCTTGCCGATCAAGAACAGCTTCTAACATATTGTTGATTTGTCGATCAAAAGCTTCTTCAATATTTTCCTCAAACGATCCATCATCATCACTATTATTGTTGTTTGATAAAGATGCCATCCTTTTAGTGTTTTTTTAAACAAGAAAATCGAAAAAAGGGTTTTGATCGAATAGAATTTGAATAAAAGAGAATTGTCTACAATGATCAACAAAGAAAAATTAAAAGTTTGAGTTTGTGAGAACTTGAATTGTATAACAAAGACTTTGAGTTCGTTTGATACAATAACAAAGAGAAATGTCTGCATATATATAACAAGGGAATGACCTACAATAATGTTACACGTTTGTGGTTTTCATCCACTAACAAATATGTGGGTTTACAATACTACAAAACAAAAGCAAATGGACCTATATTACAAAATAGTGGTTTACAATACTAGACAACAACATCAAATGGACCCTTGTCTTCCACGTTGAAATCGAATATTGAAAATAGAAATCGAATATTGAAAGACATCCAAACAAGTACATTGCCCCTTGATGAATGCACTAGCCACTTGTCATCATAAGAAAGCACAGATTCCTGCAAACAAGTAATAATAATTCACATGACCATTTAAACTTATTCAAAGACATCCAAACAACTAATAATAATTCATCTTCATTAAAACAGATATTTAAGTTGTTAAAAACACAAATGACACATAAAAAATTATTAAGACAACAATTCAAGCAACAACTTGTTCTTAACAGCCGTTTCCACTTCAGATAGTGGCTCTGGTTTGGCAAGAAGTTGTTGTAGAACCTTGTTCTTCGAGACCTTGTCCTTCATGTCCAAATCTGCTTTTTTGATATCCCAGATGTTTTGTAACAGGATGAGATCTTCTTTACCACCGGCTGACTTGTTCCCATTCTGCTTAGAAGCTTTCTTTGAAGCTTTTACTCCAGGAGGTTGAGTGTCTTGTTGAGTGCTAAATGAATGTTCTTCGTCCTCTTCATCCAACCTTCTTTTCGAGCTTGACCCACCTTTCAACTTAGAAGCCGAGGACCACTTTTGGTCATACCGTAACTCACGCCATGCATGATCAAGTGTGAACTTAATCTTGTAATCGTTAAAAAAGATAGCATGTGCTGCTTTCATCACGTCGTCTTCGTTTTGGCCTGATGACTGACTTTTCCGAGCAGCTTCGTAACACCCCACAAATTTACAAACATGATCGTTGATCCTACCCCACCTCTGCTTAACATGACTGAGCTCTCTGTCTGGCAAATCTGCGAGCTCCTCACTAGCATTAAAGTAATCTTGTATCCTCTTCCAAAACGCAGGAGCCTTTTTCTCATTCCCCACCACTGGATCTTTTGAGGTGTTTAGCCATGCGGTGATCAAAGCCACATCCTCCTTTGGTAACCACTGTCTTCTTTCCCTACGTTTATCTGCACATGGCGAGTAACCATCATTAACTAGTTGACTAGTTAAGAGGTTAACAAAGCCATGCGGGTTACTCAAGGGATCGGTGGAATCCATTTTCTAGCCTAGTGTGTTTTTTGAACAAAGTTTAGAAGAACAAAGGTAAGTGTTTAGCGAGTTAAGGTTTTAGTGTTTAGAAGAAAGAAGTTTGTGTTTGTGATTATGTGTTTTTACCGAGTCTGTTTGAGTTTTAAATAGCAGAAAATGTTGAAGTTAATTTACCAAGCAAGCATTAACATCATCTACAACGTTACCTAACAAACACTCAAGCATTGATAATTTTTTTAATGTGTGTCAAGAATTTTACCTAACAAAGTTAAAAGCTATCCAGAGCATTTATCACAAAGCTAACCAGAATTTATAACAAATCCTAAACAAATATAAAAGCTATCTCCTACAAAGTAAATTTGCAAACCAGAGTAAGGAAAGGTTTACCTTACATCACGGAATCAATAAAATTGATGGGCCTTGAAAAGAGCTGCTCTCCATTTGTCCTCCATTGTCCTAAAAAAAAAACAGAGACAAGTTCCAAGTCATGTAAACGAACCAAGCATTAAACTCAACTACACCTTTAATTGTTTCACCTAACAAACTACTAACAAACATTTATTAACGGTATTATGAAATACACCAACCTGCTTGACGAAATAACCAACGGCATTATTGTCAGCATAAGTAAGAAAATGCGTCAATCCATCAACATCACGTGCATGTTGTTATGGACGATATGTGATACCACCTACAACAAGATTGCTTCTTAGGACCATAACAGACTTATGTTTTCTGGGTAAACATCAAAATTTCACATATCATAATGCTTACAAAAGGAATAGCTCTTGCAATACATCAAAAGCTTATTCAGGTTCATAATCGTAGAACTAGAGCAAAAGAATTTCTTATGTTAAGAAAGTGAAAGAGTCTAGATGAAAAATAAGTAGTGAAGCATGTTCATCATGTGTTCAGCTAGTGAACGCGGACAAACCACATGCATTAGTTAACTTTTATATTAAACAATCGGAAAATTGTCACCACTATTTTGTAACAATTGCATCTATTCTCACAAAGGTATCTACCTAATCGTTTTTTGCAAGCACATTATGGCCATCTAAACTTCCAGCAGTTAAATGCAAATAGTTGCTACATTTGCTTACTAAAACTAACACTCTCCTTTTATAATCAAGACAAAAAAATTACAAACAAAGAAAAATGTGAAACTATTGTATTCAATCCAAAAGAAAGTCATGTATCACTTTAGTTTAGCATATTTACCTATCCATCAGAAGGCGAACAATGTACTCCTTGGGCATATTAGGCAACTGTAAGAGACAGTTCAAGCAGAGCAAAACTATTGTTGGAGGGTAAAGTAATTACTTTGTTGTATGGAGAATGGAAAACAAAGTAATCGACATCATTGATGGAGAACTCTTTTGCTTCCAGTTTCTCAAACCTGCAAAAAAACCAAAGAATTGAAATGAGTCACACAAACCACCAGAAGAAAGAAACTGAGTTTTCGCAACAGTGCTTACTTGTTACATAGATGTTTATAGCAAGAGTCAAGAGCCATAAGGTAGCATGTCTGTGAAAGCTTACAATCAACAACCTACAAGAACACGAGAAACGATAACGAATAAGAATTTCAATTCTCTGTATCAAAATACTTAGAGATGATGCATTGAAGATTACCGGGTACTCGCTAGCAAGATTTGGCTTGTAAAAGTCGTAGACATGAGCCATGTGGCTTCCTCTCAATTTGCTTTCGAAAACGATAGGAGCATTTGGTCCTATCAACATAGCAATAGCTGTTGCTCCTCCTGTGGGCCTCGCGGGTCCTTCTGCGTAAACCTGAAAGCATTCAAATACATAAACAGGAGAAGATTTATGCAAAGACTCAGGCATTAAAAAAGCATTTCTATGGTCGATGTTATACCGCACTATGCTGCTCCGATTCTGTGCTGATTCATCGCCGATCGTTTAGCTCGTCCATCCGCATGCTCCATCGATTTCATCCTCCATCACCGATCAATTTTCTCCATCAAAGACTGATCCCCGAAACTCCAAATCGTCGACTTTTTCTGATTTAGGGTGACGATGTCGACTCTCTTACATCGACAAGGAGATGGATGAAAAACACAAGAAATGTGGTTGGGCTGAGATTTTTATTGGGCCATATATGATTTTAAGCCCAAATCCAAAAAATGCTTCTTCCAATTAAAAGCCGCCACGTGGATATATACTCAAGAAAGAGAAACTCTTCCGCAAGAGGTTATCAACTCAGGATATAAGCTTTTACTAATTTTCTGGTTTATTTTAATTACTTCAAAATCCTTATATCCCACTACATCTCTGCGATGGAGATGGTCTTAGACTCTTAAAAAACAACTACACTTGCTACTATTTCAATAATTGTCTTACACAGCAAACTAAACTTCATTAGTTAGGTTTTTCAGTTTGGGTTGAGTCCAAAATGGCATTACTCAACACATCCACTTGCCATTTTCTCTCGCAAACCAGGCTTACTTCGAATTCTTTTATAACTTTGAACTGCCAAGGCTTTGGTGAATGTATCGGCCAATTGTTCTTCACTCCTGCAGAATTTGAGTTGAATATCTTTGTTCTTCTCATTGTCTCTAACCACATGATATTTAAACTGAATATTATTGGTTCTTCTGTGCTGAACTGGGTTCTTTCCAATAGCTATGGCTGATTGACTATCACAATAGATAGGTACTCTCTCTTGAAAAATGATCATTAGGTCTTCAAGTAACCGTCTTAGCCATAGAGCTTGGTTTGCAGCTGCACACAATGCCATATACTCTGCCTTGACTGTGGATTGAGCAACCATATCTTGATTACTCGTTTGCCATGTGAAGATTGCTGGTTTGATGCTGAAACAATAACTAGTTATTGATTTCATATCTTCCTTACATCCTCTCTAATCACTGTCTGAGCACCCGATCAGTTTTGGTTCTGTAACCTTAGTGAACAAAAAGCCCATGCCAATTGTTGCTTTTATGTGTCTGAGCACTCTCTTGGCCTCCTTGAGATGTATGATTTTAGGCTTTTTAAGTATCTGGACAAGTAAGATGCAGAGAACATTATATCAGGCCGATTTGCTGTCAGATACAACAAGTCTCCCACTAGGCTTCTATAGACTCTACTGTCTGCAAGTTCTTCATCTTCCTCATTTTGATAACGTCGTTGGGGTGCCATCAGTGTAGACATGATATTGCATTCTTCAACTTCTGCAGTAATTTCTTTGCATAACACTCTTGTGACAAAGATATTCTCTCTTGACTCTGCACAATATCCATTCCTAAGAAATAATTTAGTAAACCCAAATCAAACATTTCAAATTCATTATTCATAGCTGTCTTGAATTCATCCACCATACTCTCATCATCTCTAATGACAATGAGGTCATCTACATAAATGCACACAACAAGTAACTTCCCATTCGTTTCTTTAGTGTATAGATCATGATCATTCTCGTTTCTCTTGAATTTTTCTCTTTGGAAGAACTCATCATATCTACTATACCAGGCTCTTGGTGCCTGCTTTAGCCTTTAGCCATACAAAGCTTTGTGAAGACGAAGGACGTGATCTTTTTTTCTTGCCACTTCGAATCCCAGAGGTTGCTCAGCATATATCTCTTCTTCCAGCTTTCCATTTAGAAATGCAGATTAACATCAAGTTGGAACAGTTTCCATCTTTTTTTGAACCACAACAGCAAGAAGTAACCTGATGGTTTCATGTCTTGAAGCTGGTGCAAAGGTTTCTAGATAGTCTACACCATGTTGTTGAGTGAATCCCTTGGCAACTAACCTTGCTTTGTGTTTTACCACATCTCCTTTTGCATCAGTCTTTAGTCGATATATCCATTTTACTCCAACAACAATCCTGTTTTCTGGTTTTTTTACTAGTTCCCATGTGTCATTCTTCTCTATCATTTGTATGTTCTCTTCAATGGCTTCTGTCCATTCTGAGTGTTTAGCAGCTTCTTCGAAAAGTATTGGTTTTGAAATTCTTCACAACCACTGTAGCATCCTTCAATTATTGCATCGAACAATATTGGTTTTGAAATTCTGTAGCATCCTTCAATTATTGCAGAGTATTCTACATCAATATAAGAAGTAGTGAGTAGAATGTCTTCAATAGACCGATTCTTTCTGTTTGGTGGGCTTGAGCTCTCTCTTAAGCTCCTCTGTTCTGGACTCAAAGAGGTCATCTGTTCTTCCATGGATTCTTCATGATTTGATTCATCAAGAATTGAATTTTTCAAATTCTATTTCAACAAGTTAATTAACTTAATATGAGAAAACAAGTAATATATTTAACTATGTATAAAAGAAATACCATCTCACTAATGTTAAAACGTAAATAGGTAAGAAAATTATTCTATGTGTGTGTGTGTTTTTTTTTTTTTGTAAACACGTGTTTCTTTTGACTGTAATTCTACAAGTAACTAAATTGAAGATTATATTTTTTTCAAAAAAAAAACTTTTGTTAAGTTCTTTATCAACTTTGACCATGAAAATAACTTTTTATGTATGTTTGTATTACTATATATATAGCCAGTAAACTCAATCAAAAAAGTGTAAACAAAAAAGACCATAAAAATCAATTGTTCTCACCATGAAAACTTTAGTCGGATTTGTTTTCATTATCTTTTTCATCATATCTTCTGTTCATTGTCGTACAACAGTTGTTAGTACTTCAGGTACTGATTTATTCATATTCCCCTACCTTCTTTATAATCATGGACATGATTTCATCCTTTTTAAATGTACATATTGATTTAATGATTTTATAATTTTATTAATAAATAGGTAATGATATAAAAAAGAAGGATGATTCGAAATGCTACTTTGGAGCATGTTCTCGTGAAAGGGGCGATTGCATTCATTTTTGTGCACCCTATGGTTATTCTTTCGGCCAGTGTGTTGCTTACCTTGCATGTTGTTGTAGTAATCCGTCTAATTATGCGCCAGGCCCAAGATAAAAATAATTTAATCTTGGTATTTGCTTCAAAAATAACATCAATGTTTTTCATATATGTTTTGAAAAATATATATAGAAGATCTAAATGAAATTAATAAACTCAACCAAATATAATTAAATTTAATTAAAATATAAGCAATAGTTCTTTTTGCAATTTGAACAAAATTTTAGATTAAATAAAAAACCAATAACCAAAGGCTCAATAAATTACTAAGTTGAAAAAACAAAACACAAAAAAAAAAACAGACTTTAAAATATAGAAAATCCCATGTTGTTATTACCCCATAACCTTGCAAAAAGATCATATGAGACTGACCAATTATTACTGTGATGGTCAGTAAACAATCTGTTTCCACCTTGTTGGATTTAGATGTATACATGCCCGTCTTAATAATTTTAACAATCTTCGTCAAAATATTATATATGAACCCTTTTTATATATAGAAAAATATTAAATTTATTAAATGATTACGTTCTGATTGTATTTGTATATGTTTTTAGTATCGTTTGTGTATTGCCTGAGCATATTTTTATGGGAAAACTGTTAAATAAAGCACAAACTTTCAAATTTCGGCCATTTAAAACATAAATTATCATCTGGATAGTTTATATCATCAATTTTTGTTGACTTTAAATTTAAATCTTAAACTTTTGTTGTCTAAGCCAAAAAAGATATGACCCTAAATCAATAACGGAACAATTTAACAGGGTTCAAATTCGTTGGATAAATTAAATGGCGTCATTTTAAAAATTTTTACTTATAAAAAAAAAATTAAAACAATGTATAGCCTGTTCGTTTGCTCATCTGGATGGATCATCTAGATTAAGTGCATTAATTGATACGATTATGGACCCGGAGAATGGAACAGACGCTGGAAACGAGGTTCCAGAAGATCACTTGACCGTACCGGAAGAACCAATGACTCGTTCCCAGACCAAGAAGCTAGCAGGAGCGGTCCAGACCTTACTTGATGGGATCAGGATTTATCCACACGACCCAGCATTACTCAAAGGAGTGACCATACTTGTGAATGCAGGCTGTAGCTAATCTGGTTTGGGTAATGGCTTAATATTTATTTTCGTTACATCCGGATTTGTCCCACTGGATTTACCGGATGGGGTTTAACGAGGTTAAGTCCATTGCCCGTCTCTCGATCTAGGTTCGTTTACGGTCTGGTTCATGGTCAGTAGCCTAAGAGTCATTTTCAGTGGAGCAGTCCAAGAGTCATTTTTGAGTCCACCGAAGAGTCAGTCAACGTTTTTAGTCTTTAGCATTTATTTTCTTTGTAATTTCCTAAGAGTAACCCTTGAGCTACTTCACATTCTATATGAGGCCTTTGTACTCTCATTTGGAACTCATTCACTTTTTCTTAAATAAAATTTTTGAGATTTTCTCTTTGTTTTTTTTAGAACTATTTTTGATTTTAAGGTGGTCAGCCTCTTGAATCTTCTTTTTTTGGTTTATTGAGTTCTTCTCATCGGACTCAACGCAGCTTTCGACCCATCAAACCTGAGTGTTCCTTCAAATCGGTTTAGGGGCAATCAGGATTTTTGGGAACCTAGTTCTCACGCCTAATCATCTTAGATCCGCGAGCTCTTAACTTGGTGAAGCCATCACCTTGTACGAGACGATCATTGCGAGTTTGGGCCTAGGGATATTCGGGAGTCTCCACTCTCATGCCTTAACATCTATTTTGTGCATCCGATATAACCAATGATTTATCAACCTCCATCGTCCAAGTGTGTCTAATTTTAGGAGATTCGTATCATTAATCGACTCATCTTGATGGATCATCTAGATGGATCATCTGGATGATTTATAAATTTATGAATAAATTTTAAATTCATCCAACTGATTCTATTTGAAGCATTTGGATGAACATGATTCAGTCTAAAAAATCAAATGACAAAAATATACTTAACAAAAACTAATAAATAATACAAAAAAATAAGAAATAATAAATATTAATACAAAATTTTGTTTACTTGAAATTTTGTTCCGATTAAAAATATATATAAAATCTTTTTGCCAAAAATATAAATTCATATTTTCTGCCAAAAAATGTAAATCATATTTTTCCGCAAAAACTTAAAATTTTATTTCTCCGCCAGATTTCCATCAAAAACGTAAAATCTTGTTTTCCCGTCAAAAATGTAAAATCTCGTTTTTCCGTCAAAAATGTAAAATTTCGTTTTCCCGTCAAAAACGTAAAATCTCATTTTTCCGTCAACAACATAAAATCTCATTTTTCCGTCAAAAACGTAAATTCTCGTTTTTCTGTAAAATAAATGTAAAATCTCGTTTTTCTGTCAAAAAACGTAAAATCTTGTTTTCCTATAAAAAAACTTAAAATCTCGTTTTCCCGTCAAAAAACGTAAAAACTCGTTTTCTCGTCAAATACGTAAAATCTTATTTTCTACCGTAAACAAATATTATGTTTTTTATATTTAAATCATCTAGATGCAAATGATAAATTATATGCAAATGAAAAACGAGCAAACGATACCATAGCTATTCCAACACAAGACCATGGTAATCGTAGACATCCCTTCTACCAATGAGGCAAGCATGATTTATGTTTAGAAATTACAGATATGTTTTATTATGAAACTACACAATCTGAATTTTTCTATAATTTTTTCCCAGCGAACTGATATTGTGAGATATTTGATGACGACTCTGGTTGAGTTGTAGTTTTTCCTTATCAGATCTACTTAGAATGTCCTTTTTTCCTTAGATCTACTTAGAATGTCATTTCTCAGATCCGTATTTAGAATTTTAAACCCTGATTTATGATGCAGGTTCACCGATAGCCAAGGAGTTGATGAAGTCGAAGCAATGGTGATCCCAGCGATACTGATACTTCTGAGAACTGATTTTTAATTGGGCTTCAATGGATCGCCGTCACAATCTTTTGGAAGATTGTTCTTTTGGAAAATAATCTCCGATTTTTCTAAAGAAGATTGCTTATATTCTGGGATTGACAAATTGTGTAGTTTTAAATTATATCTGCTATTTTTACACAAATATTTTGTTTGGTTCAGTTGGTAAAGTGCATACATTCAACGATATTGGTCATAGGTTCGGATTCCAGTATGGTATTTTTAAGTTTTTTAAAAACAGTTATTTTTTATTAAAAACGTGATATACAACAGATTTTAATCTTGTTAGTTTGTTCCGTTTATTAATTTAACATCGTGTCTTTTTTGGCTTAGTTAACAAAAGTTCGGGATTTAAATTTAAAATCAACCAGAATTTATGATTTAAATAGTTCATGCTTTAAATGGCTGAAATTTGAAAGTTCAGGTTTTTTTTGACAATTTTCAGAAATTAAATTTCAATTTTCAAACATGTGAATTAATCATTTGGGTGGATGGTAATTATATACTATTTAGATTAAACATGAGGGTTGATTATGATAATAATTGTGATTGTTTTTTCTTAAATTCGATTAATTTTTTTGAATTGCAATTTGAACCTTGATTATTCTATAGTATAACAAACTGAATGATTTTAATGGTATCTATGTATTTTATGTTTTTTGATGTATGTTACCATACATATTTCGTGTAGCTAACAATTTATTTTTATATCATATATTTTTAAAATCATAAAAGAATCTGATATCTTAACATCTAGAAAATCTTTAGTATTATTATAGTACTGATTAATAAAAATAAAATAAACCTTAAATTTAAGAGAGTAAATTGCATAATAAACTTAGATAATAATAAAGTTAAATAATAATAAATAATAGATCAATGGTTTGCTGATTTTAAAAAATATACTAATAGTTCATAGACCTTTTATATCAAACTTTGAAACATTAAAAAAAAAAGAGTTAGACCTAATGCGATCGCTCACTCACCATGGATTAGAGTCGAGACTGGATGTATAATCCCATGCCTTGAAACCCGTTTCTTGGTTTAGCATGAGCAATAGCCTCTGCAATGGCGGCACCTTCCTCGTCAATTCTCCTTTGTTCCTCTATCTCTTTTAGCTTCTTCTTCTGTAACTCAGCCCTGATGGCTGCAGAAATAGCAATGGCTTTCTCTATATGCATCTTTTTCTTCTCTGCTTGTTTGATACGCTCAAGCTTGTTTCTCTCCTGCTTCATCTTTGCAGCATCTGCTGATGAGTTTCTTTCTTCATCTTCTTCATCTGCTATTTCTTGCTCTCTTTCCTTCTTCTTTTGTTTCTTCTTCTCTAGCTCAGCTCGGATCGCTGCAGAAGTAGCAATGGCTTTCTCAAAACTAATACAAAGCAGATTTTGTTTGAGTCTTAAAACCTATAAAGAGAACTCATATGAACAGATATAAAAAACAAAAGTGATATATTGAGTATTGAAAACACGGTGAAAATGAATTGTAAGGTTGGCTTCATGAGCTTTGTGATGATTTGTTCAATAATCATCCTGTTTCTCATGGTTGTAGGTAATAGCAAACTATGAAAATTATATTAATAAAGTTTTAAGTTATCTATCAGTCTTTTTATTTATTTTGGTTCTGGATGATACGTAGGGAAAGTTGAAGCTCAAGCACAATGCATTGGATTATGTGATATGCTTGCTGATTGTGCGACTGCTTGCATCAAGATGGGATACCAAACTGGCCAATGCGTTGGCTGGAATAATCCCAATAACTGTTGTTGCAACCATTAAACGTTTCATATCTAGATGTACTGAAAATCATCAATAACATTTAATAAATAATAATTCTATTGTTGTTGTTCTACTCTGAAACGTTAATCCTTTTCTTTTTAAGATCAAGACGATGTATATGTATCAGTATCCCAACTTGTCTATTGTGTCATTGATTTTCTCTTTAAAATTATCTACATCAGAATTTATTTCTCTGCTCAATTCAAGTTTTAGAAAATAATTAAGAGGGAGATGATGACTTATGGCCTATCAACGGGTGTGGATCTTGGAGAATGTTTTTATACTTGGATTTGTGATTATTAACAACATGAGGGTACCTCCAGCAAAATCATCTCTAATTTTTATTTTTAAGTAACGAAGACTAACATCATTAAAACTACTATCATATTCATGATATTGATATTATTAATCGTTAAGTTGACTTCCTGCATTTTTCAGATTAATTAAAGCTTGGTTTTGCTCAAAAAAATAAATCAGATTTCCATTTATTAACAGTAATAATGGATAACAGTTTGTCAACCACATCCTATAGTACACTCCTTGATGGACTGGCCAACCAAACTCTACGCATCCAAAAATGTAAAAAAAAAAGTAAACGAAAAATTGTTATGTAAAAAGTAACACTCATAATCGATTCTCAATTGAAAGTCCACATTTGATCAAAACTTCGACCTAGTTCTATTTGGTTGTGAAGAGTTTGCTAGGCGTGAGAAAATGATATAGAATGGGATTTCAGGTTGTTTTGGCATTCGAAAACTTTGTCAACCAAATAGTGGTAATTTAGTGGTTGAAAGATTCACTCTGAATTTACTTAAAATTAGAGTTTTTTCACTGCAATTTCTGTCATTCTTGACCACTTGTAGACACTTTTCATGATAATAAATTAGAAAAATTGTATTTTTCTGGGAGGATTTGTCTGAGATTCAGTGTGGAAGACCCATGACTTCAATTTTCTACTAAAAGTATTAGATGTTTGAAGTGTAATGACTAAACATTCGTAGAATCATGTCATTGCATGTAAAACATGTCTAAGAGAATCAAAGTTGTCTCCTTAGATTGGCAATAAAATAATTGAATTGTACCAGTCAAAATCAATTAATACTAGTCACTTTTTGAGTTTGCAGTATCATTAAAAGGAACTCTTAAGTTGCAACAACATCCTGTAGGACAAAAAACATTCTATAGAAAGAGCAAAAAAGTAGATTTCGATCGAGACAAAACAAAACTGCTGGTATATTGACAATACAACGAAAATGAATTACAAGATTGGATTCATGAGCTTCGTCGTGATTATTTCAATAATTTTCATCTTTTTGTTGGTTTCAGGTTAGGCCGTCTCGTCTATGAGCTGCACATTTAATTTTTTTCTACTCAAATAACAAATTATGAGATATATATTAATATTTCAGTTTTTTTTTTTGTTTTGTTATGAAATGAAGAGAAAATAGAAGCGCAAACAGAATGCGTTGGACCATGTGGACTGGTTAGGGACTGTACGGCCGCTTGCATCAGCAAAGGATATCAAATTGGCCAATGTGTTGGCTGGGACGATCCTGATATCTGTTGTTGCAACTAATAACCTACATAACTAAACATTGCATCGAAAACTCATTCAAGAAATAAATAAATTTGATTATTGTCAATTAATTTAGTGAATGAAGTTTATTTAAGTCTATTATTGTCAATTGTTTTCAATCAGGTTGTAATGGCCAAAGATGACATGACTCAAAAAGAGACCCTTCTTCTTATAAAACACACTTACATATTTGTCCTCAAGAGACATGACATGCAGTCTCAAATGCTAATTAGCGTGGCTCTTCTTCTACTTTCATTTTTTTTTTAAATACATATATATTTACCAAAACAACTTATTAGTCAAACCAGATTAAAAACAAAAAAACAAAAAACAAAAGAAGTAAAATTGGAGTTGAAGCTATTAAGAGGTGGAACCCTTGTTGTATAGTTTGATTCTCCGGCTTATCGTTTTCTCTAACTCTTCTTTTCCTCCCACTTCTTCCACTTCCTGCATCACTCCCAAAACATACAAACAAAGTTAACAAAAAAATATTAATTATATCACTTGGTTTCTCTTGTTTGCGATTTAAAAAAGGGGTTTTAGATTCTTGCCTTGGGTCCAAGAAACAGCCCATATGGTATACCTTTGAATTTGTCTGTGTGGTGTAGCTGAAAACAAAATCATCGTTAGATAAATACTGTTAAAGCATATAATGTAATAGTAATTATGGAATTAAGAACAATTAAGTTAAGAACGTTGGATTATGGTACCAAACCTGGTGAGCGGCGGCGACCTTTCGGAGGTAAGGAACGTTGGCAATGGGACCCACAGGGAATCTCTTGTGCACAAGTCCATCGTGGACGAACATGTAGGCGATTCCAAACACCGTTATTCCCAATCCCTAAACCCATATAAACCAAACCAATCCGGTAAGAGACTCATCAAGCCCCAAAACACGAACCGTAAAGTCTCTTGGGTCACTGAGTTAATCCGGTTCAACCCGAGGTCAACGAATTTTAAATCTAATCTATTTAAAAAATAGATAAAATTTATCTTACAACAATCATTGTTTAATTGACTTCACCTAAACCATCTTTTTGGGACGGTGGAAAAACCCACTGAATACTTTCGGTTTCGGTGAAATAAAAATATTAAGATAAATTTAAAAGAGTCAAAGACCAATTACAATTGTTGTTCTATTATCATCTTTTACTTTCCTTTTTTTATAAAGATTCGGATATTGTCTAAGGAGATAGGAGGACTTACGGCACCGAAGCAGAGACCAGGAACAAGTCCTTTATTGAAGAATCCATAATTAAGAAGGCTAATCGCAGGAACCGCGTTAATAATAGCAAACACATCGTTTAACTCAAACGCTCCTTCCCTAGGTTTGTGATGAGACTACCACAAAACAAAAACCGAATAAAAAATCAATCACAAAGAAAACAAGATTTTGTAATTTGTTGCATTAATAATTAAACCGGAAAAATTCAATCACCTCATGCATGTTCCATAAAGAAGCGTGCCACAAAGCTCTATGAGCCCATCTTGCCCAAAACTCCATCCCAACCTTCAATTCCAAACAAATTACAAAAATGTGAAATGAATTTCAGATTTAGATTCTTTATTTTCAAAAAGGGGTTTTTAATTTTATTTTATAGAATAAAACTTTACATTACCAAAAAAAAAAAATCTAGTAGTATTAAGAAGAACTTGGAACTTACGGCAGCACCAACGGAGAGAGCAAATGTACCGAACATCTCTGACACAGACACTTCACTCCCTTTTAAATCGAAACAAAACTTGAGTTTCAACTTTTAAAATTCTGAAGAAAAATATTGAATTTTTCTTTTTAATGTGTTTATGTTATTACCTTCATTTGCCAGGAAAATCGGTAATAAACGGCCATGATAGCCATGGAAGTAATACCAAAGCTCGACATAATAGCAGCGATTAGATAAGTGAATCTCTCTGATTTCTTCCTCTCCGCTTTCTGCAAAAGCCTTAACGTCGTCGAGATCTCGAGAGAGCTCGTGCTTTCCGGTCTGTCATCGTCCATGGGAGATCTCTGTTTACGTTCCTCGACGACGAAACAGACGGTGAGGATCTTCCGGCGTTTTAAGCCGTTGAATCGGAGAGACGGAGGGAAAACGGCGGCGGGTCTAGGGTGGTTGAGACGAGAAGTGGAGGAAGAGGAAGAGCGGTTGAGTGGTTTGAGTGTTAATGTGATTAATGAGAGTCCTGCCGCCATAGAAGGAGGTCGTAGAGAGGTTTATGAAAACTTGAAAGTGAGAGAGAGAGACGGGAAAAGCTGTGTCGATGATGTGTGGTTAAGGTTACAGAAACAAGAGTTAAATGTAGAGAGGCCACAATTTTTTTGGTTTCGGTAGTGCCTTTTTAATTTTGTTTTTCACTTGTAGAATTTTGTTTTGATACGTACCATAATTTTTTTTATCAAAAAATCTATGATTTGTAAATTAGAAAAGACATTCTTTGAAATTAAAAGTATCAAATATTTTAATTTAATAAAAGATATTTTTGGTCGAAATTTCAATTTAATAAATTAATTATTAAAAATTGTAGATTAGATCTCGTAATTCACAAAATAATTATTACCCTACAAATTTTAAGCTCCTAATTAATAAAACACTTTTATACATTATGATCTAAAATGTTTGACTAAATCAGGAAAAAAAACTCTAAAAAATAAAAAAAAAAATCATCTTTCTAAGTTCAATGAATATTTCTATTTTGTTTCTAAACTTTATGATGAAAGAAAAAGTCACATTTTCTTTAGACAACATACATAGATAGAAAGAAACAAGCCACATGAAACAAAAACAAAAGTGACAAATAAGGAAAGTTTACACTAGTGGCTTTGAGTAACTGAGTATGAGGTAACGGAGAGGTGATGGGCCAATTCTACGATTTTTCCCACGTCATCGACAGCGAATCACTCACCACTTCTCTTAACTGACTCCACGTGGCCTCTTCTTCCACCGAACTAGGCGATGAGTATCACCATTGCCCACCTGTCGAATCCTTTTTGGTCCACTTGTTTCGGCAGATTACGTACTGAGGTAGCTTCTAGTTCTCACTGCAAACTTGTCACTTAAGGAACTTCTATAGTAACTCCGCAAGTTGATGTAAACCACTGCTACAACTATATACCTATTTTATTTATGTTCTACTTCTACCATTACCATTAAGTTTTTAGGTTTTCACCTTGATTTGGTAGAGTTTTTTTGCCAAGACAAAAATGAAATGACACATAAAAAGGTTTTGACTAGGACATGTGTGAGTGATGTCAAACGAATTTAAAGCCAACTCCTACTGTGCCATTCAGGACGTCCATGCCCTAGAGCAAAAAAGAAAGACATTGTAACCGAGGCCAAAAGATTTGTACCTACGGAACGTAGAAATATGAGACATATATATACTATAGTTTAAGAAAGTAGATGGGTAAAAATCTTCACCCTAACTCCAGATTTTTTTCAACAATTTTTGCTTAGAAAGGTATATGATCATGTAATGGTAGTAGTACTGTAAAATTACTTTAACTCGGGAAGATATTCCATCGAAACCGCGACTTTTTTATAGGCAAGTTTCTAGCAATACAATCTAACTGCAAGAAGATAGATCCACATCAGCTTTCAATTATTTTCTACTATAATAAAACTATTCCTTTATATGCCTTTCACTACAAGAACCAAAAAAGTATCACTATATTGCATCATATATAGTCACCATATTTTATAATAAGATGCTTTTAGGTTCTTTGTAACTGTATTGCATATATATATAGTTGCTATTTTCTTCTATATGGACTAAGGAGCTTTTGGATTCTTTATAACTATTTAAAATTTTATTTTCTGTGTCCCTCATAATTATAAAGAACCAATGCTAAATGTTTATTTTTGTTGCATGTTTTTACAGGGATAGAAAAAAGGGTATATACATATGAATAAAAAGTTCATAACAATAAATATAATATAGGGTCTCTATAATAGTGATGTAAGAGCATGTACATCAGTGAACTCCTAAGAGAGAGGTTCACCAGAATATAATAACATTTTTTTTTTGGTTTTAGTTTTGTTTTTTTTAATTCGAATATTATAATTTTCGACCAATCAGAATGCTTCATTTTGGGATGATACCGTCTCTTCAGGTTCGTCGGGATGATACTGTCTCTTTAATATTAAGATCTTTTGTCTCAAAAACAGTGCCATGAACCCCTCTTGATCCCCTGATGTATATGCTCTAAGAACCAGGGGGTTCTCACGGATAACACGGTGGTGGTGAGACAAAGCAGGCAGTCGCTCTCTTTTTGGCTCGGTGAATGGTCGATAGATGGGGATCTGACACGCAGGCGGTCGCCCTCTAGTGTGGGATCTGGAGGTGGTGTGCTGGCGGAGTGAATACACGACACAGAGGGGAGGTTACTCTCTGATACGGTGCAGGGGTTCATGCTTGTTTGAATCTCACAAGGAAGCAATGAATAAGTTGAGAAGCCGCTTCTCAGGAAACTTTGAAGAAAGTTCGTTCTTTTATTGATAATGGAAAAAAGGTTGCGGACTACAAAGTTGCGTGTGGGACTTTATAAACAGTCTGTTAGCTTGAACCTTCTAGGGTTCGACTCGAAACAAAAATGGAAAGACTAAAAAAAACAGGACATTTAGAGTAAAATTACAAGAAATGAACCTAGACGCTTAAAACATAAACTCATCGTTTCATTAAACTCAAATATGGAAAATTTGCAACAGACTCTTGAAACTAAACTATTGGTGCCTTTTTGATGTGATACTTAGTCGTTGTGGGGGCTGAGATCACCTGCAAGGACGATATAATAATTGAAAATCTTACCTTGGTGTGAAGAGCTCCGGTTGGCCGCTTGTGTAGTTGTGATGGCTGAGCTTGAGGCTGTGGTGTCTTTGGTTTGGAACCTTCTTGTAAAGTCTTCTAAGTGCTTTTCCAATGCAGCTAAGTCCTTGTCTTCAGGTCCCCAAGCTTTTTGATGCTCCGTCCTAGTTCCTTGGTCTTCTTGGCCTTTCTCGGGTCCGGGTGGTGTGTTGTGAAGCATCTCCAAATCTGCTCGTTGGTGGGACAAGATTCCACATTCGTTAGCCTCAGAATATGGACTTGGACGAGAGATCTTACCTTTGTTGGAGGTTTCCAAGTCGTCTGGTGGCTCTAGCCCGGGTGTCTTTGAATTATCGGCTAAATCTTATATGGGCTCGGCAATCTCATTATCCGCTCGGGCAAACTTGTTTCCGTCTCGAGCGTTGGATTCAGCTGGCGATTTTGGTCGAGTGATACCAAGTTCAGTACGACAAATTCCTTCGTCAAATTGGGCTTGCCGAGGTGGATCAAAATTATCGGCTAAAACCTCTCGCGTCTCGGCCAAAGTTTCTTGCGTATCGGCTATTTTTAAGTCATCCCTTTGTTCTTCAAGTTTTAAACCTGAAAATGAAATTCTGCTCGGACTGTTAGCATTTAAATCAAGAATTGGTCGAGAGATAACCATTTTGGCCTGAGAGACTCGGTCGTCTGATGGGTCATTCCTGGATCCCAAGTGTTCGGCCCCGGTTTGGCCGCAAAACTCGTTTAAGCCGTATGTGACATTCAGGTCGGGCAACAACGAGTCATCTGGTTCTAGTGAATTGATGAAGATATATAAGGCCCTATTGTATCTATTTCTGAGCTGTTTAATCTTGGAGCGTGTCATGGCCCCGTCTTGGACTGATGGCATTAGCTCCGGTAAGGTCTTAGGGTCGATGTCCACATCATTCCCTCCCTCTTCTAAAGGTTTTGACCCCAAAATTTCTTCACCTGCATCAAAATAAGATAAGTCAGCCACATTGAAAGTGTGTGAAATGTTATACTCACCTGGAAGATCCAAACGGTAAGCATTATCGTTGATCTTGCTCAAAACTTTGAATGGACCGTCACCTCGCGGTGATAGTTTGGAAGCACGCCGACCAGGGAATCTTTCTGTCCTCATGTGTAACCAGACCCAATCTCCTGGCTCAAATGAGACGTCCTTTCGGCCCTTGTATGCGGCTTTCTTGTAGACCTCGGTCTTCTTTTCTATATTGGATTTCGCCGTCTCATATAACTTTTTAAACAACTCTCCTCGTCTCAATCCATCTAGATTGGATTGGTCTACCTGTGCTATAGGTCTAAGATCCACTGGAGAAAGAGGGTTAGTACCATAAACTATCTCAAAAGGAGATAGCTTTGTAGCCGAGTGCCTAGCACGGTTATAAGCAAATTCTACAAAAGGAATGCAATCGAGCCATGTGCTCATGTTTTTACCAAGTGCAGCCCTAAGTAACGTAAATAAGGTTCGGTTTACCACTTCTGTTTGACCATCGGTCTGTGGGTGACAAGTTGTGGAGAAGAGGAGCTTGGTCCCTAACTTTTTCCACAAAGTACACCAAAAATGGCTGAGAAACTTGGTGTCTCGGTCTGAAATGATTGTTCTCGGAATCCCATGTAGACATACGACCTCCTTGAAAAAAAATTGGCTATTTGTGTGGCGTCGTTCATCTTTTCACACGGTATAAAGTGGGCCATCTTAGAGAATCGGTCAACAACGACAAAGATGGAGTCCTTGTGCCTGATCTTGGGTAAGCCTAAGACAAAATCCATCGAAATATCTACCCAAGGGGCGTTAAGTATAGGCAGAGGCATATATAAACCGTGAGGGTGTGATCTAGATTTGGCTTTGTGGCACTGAATACATCTTGAACAGAACCGTTCCACGTCTCTTTTCATGTGTGGCCAATATAAATGGTCCATCATGACATCCAGAGTTTTATCCACCCCAAAGTGTCCCATTAAGCCTCCACCGTGAGCTTCACTAAGCATTAGTTCCTTCATTGATCCCTGTGGAATACACAAACGTTTATCTTTAAAAAGAAAACCATCGTGTATATAGAAAAAAACTGTGGGGCCTTTGCAGCATTCGTTATAGTTTTCGCTAAGCTCAGGATCATCTTTGTATAGCGTCTTGATGTGCTCGAAGCCCAAAACTTTGGTCTCCATGGTCGCTATAAGCGTATGGCGTCTTCATAAAGCGTCAGCTACCACGTTTTCTTTGCCCTTTTTGTACTTAATTACATAGGGAAAGGTCTCTATGAATTCAAGCCACTTAGCATGCCTTCGTTTAAGTGAGGTTGGGCCACGCAAATGCTTAAGGGTCTCGTGATCAGTGTGTATGATGAACTCCTTGGACAACAAGTAATGTTGCCATGTCTCCAATGCTCTCACCAGTGCGTACAGCTCCTTATCGTAGGTAGGATAATTGAGGGTGGCTCCATGGAGTTTCTCGCTGAAATACGCCACTGGTCTCCTTTTCTGGTGCAGTACAGCTCCGATTCCCAATCCGGAGGCATCACATTCCACTTCGAACATCTCATCAAAGTTAGGTAACGCAAGAATGGGTGCTTGAGTGAGCTTTTTCTTTAAGGCCTGAAACGCTTCATCTTGAGCTGCTCCCCACTTAAATGGAGCGTTTTTCTTGATGACAGCCGTGAGTGGTGCGGCCACGGTGCTGAAATCTTTCACAAATCGCCGGTAAAAACTGGCTAACCCATGAAAGCTCCGTACATGACCGATGGTGGTGGGCGTGGGCCATTCCTGTATGGCTTTGATCTTTTCTTCGTCCACCTGTAAACCCTGTTCACTCACAACAAACACTAAAAACACGAGTTGGTTAGTACAAAATGAACACTTCTTGAGGTTAGCATAAAGGCCTTCCTTGCGAAGTGATTTGAGTACTAGTTCAAGGTGTGTGAGATGATCTCTTAGGTTCTTACTATATATAAGTATGTCATCAAATAAACTACAACTACGAATTTACTTATATATTCTCGAAGAACCTGGTTCATCAGTCGCATGAAGGTGCTTGGAGCATTAGTTAAGCCAAAATGCATGACTAGCCACTCGTACAAGTCTTGCTTGGTCTTGAAAGCCGTTTTCCATTCATCTCCTTCACGCATTCGGACCTAATGATACCCACTCTTCAAGTCCACTTTGGAGAAGATAGTGGAGCCGCTAAGTTCATCCAATATGTCGTCTAAACGCGGAATGGGGTGCCTATACTTGATAGTAATGTTGTTTATGGCCCGGCAATCCACACACATACGCCAGGTACCATCCTTTTTAGGCACTAAAAGCACAGGCACGGCAAAGGGGCTGAGGCTTTCTTGTATATAGCCCTTGTCCATCAAGTCTCGCACTTGTCTCTCGAGCTCTTTGCTTTCTTCCGGGTTCATTCGGTAAGCTGCCTTATTTGGTAACGGCTGGCCTGGAACTAGGTCTATCTTATGTTCTATTCCTCGTAGGGGTGGTAGCCCTGGTGGGATCTCTTCGGGAAACACATCTTCGAACCGTTTGAGTAAGGCCTCTACTTCGGGTAGGAGCTCAAGTTCCTTTAACCCTGCGCTAAGACATTCTTTGAAGAACATTAATAACATAGTGCCATTGGCACTCCAAACGCGGTTTAATTCACCAGTACATATATATAATGCGGATTTAGAAGACTTAGTCTCTTGTTGCATTCGCTCTGAAGCTCGTGGACCTCGGTGGGACTGAGTGGTGCTAAATTGTATTTGCGACCAAGGTGTGTAAAGCTGTAGAAGTTGGTGCGGCCATTGTGCATAGTAGCCTTGTCACACTGCCACTGCCTGCCTAGTAAAAGATGCTCTGCTTGCATCGGCACAACATCACAAAGGACCTCGTCTTTGTACTTGCTCACACTAAAAGGAACCGTGACTTGTTCGGTTACTTTGAGCTCGGTGGCATCGTCAAGCCATTGCAATTTGTATGGCCTCGGGTGCTTGGTCTTTTCCAGTCCTAATCTGTCTACCATGAACTTGCTTGCCACGTTAGTACATGAACCTCCATCAATAACAATATTACATACCTTGTTGTTAATGGTGCATCGCGTATGAAACAAGTTCTCTCGTTGGATCCGATCCTCGGGCTGAACTTGCGCACTTAAGACTCTTCTAGTCACTAAGAGATATTCACCAGTATCAAGATATTCCACATTCTCTTCATTGTCCCCGGGTTCTTCTTCAGGCTCATCTTGAGATTCATATCCTCCACTCGGGGTGATGATCATTACCCTTTGGTTTGGACAGTCTCGTGCATAGTGCCCTCGTCCCTGACACTTGAAACAGGTTATATCGCGTGTTCTAGCTTGACTAGTGTTTTGAAACTTACCTGGTTCCGGTCGATTGGTCTTTGGTGCCTCGGTGGATTTTGATTTGAGACGTGAATCAACTTCCATGGCCTTGCCCTTGTCAATGGTTCGACTAGAGCTAGCTTGCCACGGCTGGCTACCGCGGTTGCGGTTTGTTAGCGAGGCTTTGCGCTTGATTTGTTGTTCCACCTGAACTGAAAGATGCAAGTGGAGGCCACTATACTTGACTCTCTCCACCTTGCGGGCTATTCTTTCTTGGAGACCGTCCACAAACTGAGCCATCAAGGCCTCTTCGGTCTCTTCAAGCTCTAGGGAGTTCAACAGTTTCTCAAACTCCTCGAAGTACTCTTCCACGCTCCTTGTTCCCTGAGTTAACTTACGAAAGCGCTTCTGTAAGTCACGGTGATAGTGTTCTGGAACATACCTGAGTCGTAAGAGGTACTTCATGTCGCGCCAAGTTTGTATTGGCCCAAAGACTTGGCGTCTCCTCTCAGCTACGGTGCGATCCCACCATGCTAAAGCATGATCGGTGAGTTGAGCCGTGGCTAAGGCCACTTTCTTGTTCTCACTATAACCATAGCAGTCAAAGATGTATTCTAACCGCCGTTCCCAGTCCAAGTAAACTTCGGGATTGGATTTCCCTGCAAAAGTTGGTGGCGTTAGTTTTATATCATGATTAACTTCTCTGGGCTCTCGTTCACGCGGCCGGTTGTGTTGCAACGAGTCTTGTCTTCTCGGATGTTGCCTACACATGGGGTCAGGTGGAAGATCCTCCTCCAGTTCAGGCATACTGTCTTAATCAGGATCAGGTGGAATCTCCTCGGCCTGATTACGCACGTTCCTCCAAGCTTGAGGCAATACATGATTCGGTGCTCGGTGAGCTGGTGGCTCGAGTCTTGCGACGCGTTCACGCGTATCCCTCAATTCTTCTCTCATGGTGGCTAACATGGCCATGAGCTCGTTGTGTTGTTGTCCATTGGCATGAGTAGGTGCGGCATTCTCGGAGTTATCGCCCATGTTTCTTGTAATCTCACAAAAACAACAAATCGTTTAAATACCAAGGTAGGAGAAAACTTAAACGCAAGAGATAACTAGGATTCGAATTGAAATTTTCTTTTTTTGAATTTTCTATTTTAATGTAATCGAAAATGCAATAATACGAGATGAGATGAAACAAAACGAGTTATATAATTTTTTTTAAAAAACTTTTCTCTTAAATAACTAACCGATCTAACAATCTATGAATGCGGAAGCAAGAAATATATAAAAGGGATAAGTGTAAGAAAGCCGAAAGGAGAACTTTCGGCTCTGATACCAGATGATGTAAGAACCAGGGGGTTCTCACGGGTAACACGGTGGTGGTGAGACAAAGCAGGCGGTCGCCCTCTCTTTGGCTCGGTGAATGGTCGATAGATGGGGATCTGACACGCAGGCGGTCGCCCTCTCGTGTGGGATCTGGAGGTGGTGTGCTGGCGGAGTGAATACACGACACAGAGGGGAGGTTACTCTCTGATACGGTGCAGGGGTTCACGCTTGCTTGAATCTCACAAGGAAGCAATGAACAAGTTGAGAAGCCGCTTCTCAGGAAACTTTGAAGAAAGTTAGTTCTTTTATTGATAATGGGAAAAAGGTTGCAGACTACAAAGCTGCGTGTGGGACTTTATAAACAGTCCGTCAGCTTGAACCTTCTAGGGTTCGACTCGAAACAAAAATGGAAAGACTCAAAACAACAGGACGTTTAAAGTAAAACTACAAGAAATGAACCTAGACGCCTAAAACATAAACTCATCGTTTCATTAAACTCAAATATGGAAAGTTTGCAACAGACTCTTGAAACTAAACTATTGGTGCCGTTTTGATGTGATACTTAGTCGTTGTGGGGGCTGAGATCACCTGCAAGGACGATATAATAATTGAAAAGCTTACCTTGGTGTGAAGAGCTCCGGTTGGCCGTTTGTGTAGTTGTGATGGCTGAGCTTGAGGCTGTGGTGTCTTTGGTTTGGAACCTTCTTGTAAAGTCTTCTAAGTGCTTTTCCAATGCAGCTAAGTCCTTGTCTTCAAGTCCCCAAGCTTTTTGATGCTCCGTCCTATTTCCTTGGTCTTCTTGGCCTTTCTCGGGTCCAGGTGGTGTGTTGTGAAGCATCTCCAAATCTGCTCGTTGGTGGGACAAGATTCCACGTTCGTTAGCCTCAGAATATGGACTTGGACGAGAGATCTTATCTTTGTTGGAGGTTTCCAAGTCGTCTGGTGGCTCTAGCCCGGGTGTCTTTGAATTATCGGCTAAATCTTGTATGGGCTCGGCAATCTCATTATCCGCTCGGGCAAACTTGTTTCCGTCTCGAGCGTTGGATTCAGCTGGCGATTTTGGTCGAGTGATACCAAGTTCAGTACGACAAATTCCTTCGTCAAATTGGACTTGCCGAGGTGGATCAAAATTATCGGCTAAAACCTCTCGCGTCTCGGCCAAAGTTTCTCGCGTATCGGCTATTTTTAAGTCATCCCTTAGTTCTTCAAGGTTTTAAACCTGAAAATGAAATTCTGTTCGGACTATTAGCATTTAAATCAATAATTGGTCGAGAGATAACCATTTTGGCCTGACAGACTCGGTCGTCTGATGGGTCATTCCTGGATCCCAAGTGTTCGGCCCCGGTTTGGCCGCAAAGTTCGTTTAAGCCGTATATGACATTCAGGTCAGGTAACAACGGGTCGTCTGGTTCTAGTGAATTGATGAAGATGTGTAAGACCCTTTTGTATCTATTTCTGAACTGTTTAATTTTGGAGCGTATCATAGCTCCGTCTTAGACTGATAACATTAGCTCCGGTAAGGTCTTAGGGTCGATGTCCACATCAAATAGTATAATTTTACAATACAATACTACATTTTTACATATTTTGGTTTTATTCTTCTTGCTGCCACACTTTTTACAACACTTGCCACACTTGTTGCAACACTTGCCACACTTTTCGCAAGACTTGGCACACTTTACATATTTCCCATGCTTCTTAAGATTATTTTGATATGGGTCTTTGTTTTCTATGTGACCTATTTGGCGCTTAGAGTATGAGTTTAACAGTATCTAACCAACCATCTTTTAACTAAATGTGATAAGATATGTCTTCGAATGTCTTCACATTCACGTTATTCGTCATTCAAACGTTCATATGATCCTCATTTCAGGCAACAAGCGGAGGATTGCATCGCTTTTTATGTTGATCATATATTAATTTGATCAACATACTTAAAATCTTTAATCATGTATGATTGAGTTGAGCGTTTTTATAAATAGTCATTAGACCTTTGATTAAACCTCAGAAACTTTATCATTCATCGATGTGGCAACAAAAGTTTTTAATTATAGCGTCATCCGGTGGATATTTTTCTTTAAAAGGTTTCCCTTCTAAAACGTTTTGACTCTATAAACTTCTATCAATAATCAAATTGTTTTTTTTTTGGGTCATCTAGAAGAGTTTTATTCATAACTAATCTATGGATTTACACAAAGCCGACAGAAGTAAAAACATTTCTTTGAAAACAAAGCTGGCAGAATAAACATGTATTCTCCAAAACCAAAAACCGGCATACTATATAAATATTTCCAAAACCTGAAAGATAAGCTCAAACAAACCATAAGTCAAGAATAAATGGATAACAAAACAAAATCTTAATAACAAAACATTCCTAGATAGAGACGCAACTGCGAATTGAAAATTTCAATAGAACAGAACACTCAACAGCGGATTTATTATTATTATTTTTTTGTAACAATCACATCCAATTTATTGAAGATTAATAATACCTTTGCAGAAACTCATTATATTGCTCTGATAATTATTTTTGGAGCCACGAGTTAGAAACACAAGCAGATCAACCAAGGAAGACAAATTGTTGAACCTCTAATTCTGACCGGAATGCTATATGCAAGATCAATAGAAGTTACATCAATAAGCGTTTGTAAGTTTAGCAAAATTGCGGGAAACTTTTGTCAATATTTATTGTTAAATATTCAATAACACTAGTTAATCAAAATGGTTTATACTTTATACTAGTCGTGAATTGTCAGAAAGTAGATTTCTAGCCTAATAAATAAATGTCAGACAAATCTCCACTTTTGAGATGAATTTTGGAGGTAAGTTATTAGGTTCATACTTACTTTTATGCTATTAGAGTCATCGAATTTTCCGATTGTAGAACTAGAATGTTCAATACCACAAATTTCATATTTCAGATCTGATGTATTAGAGTTGTGCACTAATAAATCATGTGCATTAAATCAACAATTATAAAAGTACTTATAAAACACACAAACAAAAAAAAGTTGATTAATATATATAAAAAAGGAGGTTAGTTTGCAAGTGAAACCCTTCTCTATCTGCAAATTGTAGGAGATACACACGTAATAGAATAATCTCAACGCGCTTGTAGCTTCCTTAGGCTCTTCTGTTTTTTTACTTCGTCTCGAGGGTAATCGATTTCTTCTATCTCTCCTCTCTCCTCGTGAAATCATGAGTATGGAGGCATCGGAGCTTCAGGATCTCTCTGACGACGCCGATTACGCTGCATCTCAACTACAAGTTCGCTTTTCTGACTCCTCGTTCTATTTTTTTGTTCAATCGCAATTTCTGTACAAGTCGATCGTAATCGCAATCCAAAATTTCTCCGCCTGACTTGTGAATTTGTATTCGTTGCTCTTTCGTTTTTCTCTATTCGATTTGGATTTGATCGTATTGATTTTTAGTTTTTATTTCTCTCCTGATTTTGTTTAGGGATCGGCTAGTATGATGCGTTGCGACAGCGAGAAGAGAAGTTTATCTAGTGAGCACGAAGGCGCTGAATTGATATATTTGAAGGATAACGTTGCGATTCATCCCACACAGTTTGCATCGGAGAGGATTAGCGGTAGATTGAAGTTAACTAAGCAAGATTCTGTTCTCTTCCTGGTAATCATTGCAACTCTGTTTTATTCCTTTTTTTGAAGTCTCTCTTTGATTTTGTATGTATGTATATGTTACAAGGATTAAGGAAACGAATCGATTGCTTGATGTATAATTTTGTATTCGTTTGCTTACTTGAGAGAATGTTCTGATTCCATTTGATATATTGGTGTTTTTTTTTTCAATCTGTGATTGCTAGTCTTGGATTCCGTACAAGGGACAAACCTCAAACGCAAAGCTATCAGAGAAAGGTAAGCAGGATTTCTTTAACTAAATTAGTATATTTTGGTATTGAAGAAAATGTCTTAACGTTGTTCTTAGTTTCTCTATCTTTTCTAGATAGGAGTCTTTATACCATCACAGCAGTTCCATTCACAGAAGTGAGGTCCATCAGGCGACACACTCCTGCTCTCGGATGGCAGTATGTAATTGTTGTGCTGTCTTCTGGTAAGTAAAACCTCTGGCTGTTGCTTTCGTTGAGATATATTCATAAATGAAAATCTTGAATCACTATTTGGGATGATCAATTGCGTCAACAATGAAATCAAAATGGTTACATCCATATTTTTGTTTTACAAACGACTGTTCTTTCACTTATTAAGATATTTGGAACTGAAATTAGTAAAAATGATCTATGAAATGACTGGTAAAAGTCTGTGGTCTTCCTAGTGGGTTTTGACACTGGTCAATGGGATATGATTCTCGTTTCCCCATCTCTACAAGACGAATGATTTAGAGAATTTTAAGCGTTTGAAATGACCTGCAGGACTGGCATTTCCGCCTCTGTATTTCTACAATGGAGGAGTCAGGGAGTTTCTGGCCATAGTGAAGCAACATGTTTTTCTTGCAAGGTTTGTGTCTGATCTGAGATTTTTGTCTATGGCATGTATTTTTATGCTTATTTATAGAAAGCATGTCTTTATATCTGTGGGTTTACTGTATCGAAGTAGTTTAGGGATGCACAATGTATTGTTACTTTCAGACGGCTTTTATAGTTTTTGTTACTTACTCATAGGGGAGACCTGGTATGAAAATTTGTGGACGACCAAAGTTTATTATCGTATGGAGCTGGATGAGTCATTGCTTAGCTATGTTACAAATAATATTGTCTTACATAATCTTAATTTTTTATAGGTCGGCAGAAGATGCAAATGTGTTCCTTGTCAATGATTTCCAGAGTCCTTTGCAGGTAAAAATATCAAATCATCTTATGCTGGCTGGAGTAATGATTTTGGTTTTTCTTATGACCTTATACATATTATGATTATATCCGACAGAGGACTCTTTCTTCATTGGAGCTTCCAAGTTCACTGCCTGTTGCAAGTGGACAATCGACATACCCATCAGACGGAGGATCTTCTAATGATAATAATCAAGGGAGAACAAGTGCAGGTGTTGACAACAGAGTTTCTAGATTTTCGCAGTATGGACCGAGAAAGCACAAGAATCATGATCCTACTCGTGATCTTTCAATTCATCTTCTAGAGAAGTTTTCTCTGGTTACTAAGTTTGCTCGAGAAACAACCACTCAGTTGTTTTCTGAGAACAATGGCTTTGGTTCGGTTGACAAGAGATGGAATAACCAACCCGTGCATAATTATGATGAAAAGTTGTCAAATATTGCTGAGGAAAAAGATCATGAAGGCCCTCATAGTTACCCCGAAAAGGACCATCTCAATGATGAAGAAATTCCTATTACCGTTGATGTCCCTGCTGATCCCTTAGAGGTGAGGGTCATTTTCCTTTTTCATTTTTTGTTATAAGCATAGCATGTTGGTGGAAATTATATCCGTATCTTGGGAATCTTCCTTTTGCCTCATAATACAACGTCTAGTTTTCTTTCGTCTTTTTTGATAGATTGTCATTTATCTTAAATGTGGGGGGGGGGGGGGGGTGAAAGTCATACTAGTACGACTTAATTCCATACATCTTAAAAAAAGTTTCCCTTGTCTATGATTCATTATGGATACCCGATTGACAATCACCAGGACAAAGGTATTATAGTCATCCTTACGGGCATAATTCGATCTATAGAGTGTTCTATGGATGAACTTGTGCATGTATTTCAGTGCGTCTACTTTCAGTTATTTGAAACACTACCTAGGTACTAGGGCCTAGTTTAGTAACTGCACTTTTTCTTGTGGTTGTTAAAGTTTGTTGGAAACATAGCTCTGAAAGTTCATTTTCATTCTAGGGCAATCAATTTGTAAATGTAGGCATAGATTTAAATGCTCAGCTTTAGTTGATAATCACTTCTGCAATATGTATGGATGCTTCACCTTGTATCACAGTATAAACATTTTCGGATGGAATGATGTGTATTCTTCATTAACAGCAAGTATCTGGAACTAATTTACTGACCACTCGTAATAGCACGTACATGTAAAATATGGAACTTATGAATTTGTTATAGATTATGGCGTTTAACTGTTCCTTCATTGCAGTTTAACAAGTTGAGTTTGGTGTGGGGAAAACCAAGGCAGCCACCGATGGGTTCTAAAGAGGTAAGCACTTTTGAATTCTGCAATTTTCCAAAGTTGAGAACGTTTGGAGGGGAAATTTTTTACTAAATGGTAGAGAAGAAATGACATATCACCAAGCATTGTGGTGAAGTTAAAATATTGACAAAATATGTCTACCCTGTTATAGAATATGTTTTGCTTCATTGTTTGCTAAGGGTGTAGTCATAGATTTTCTATTTTCTTTTCATCTTTGCATTAAATTCAAACCTTCTCTGGGTTCTCAGTTCACAGCATTCTTGGATTCTGAAGGGCGAGTTGTGGAATCAAAAGCTCTTAGAGAGAGAGTTTTCTATGGAGGCATTGAGCACCAATTGCGAAGAGAGGTTAATTTTTCTATTTCTGATGAATGTTATAATTAGGCATGCACAATTATAACTTAGGATCACCTTTATAGGTCTGGCCCTTTCTCTTGGGGTATTATGCATATGACTCGACATATGCAGAGAGAGAATATCTTCGAGCTGTCAAACGGATGGAATATGCAACATTGAAACAGCAGTGGCAGGTTCGTTCATTGTCATTTCACATCTTCTCTAAATTCCTTGGTTGGTTATGTAGTTCCTTGGCAGGATGATGTCTGAGCTTGCTAAATAAAACTGAGGTGTTCCTAGAATAGCTTATTTCCCTCATGTTCGATGCACTCTTAACAAATATTTCTTCTTTTTGACAGAGCATCTCTCCTGAACAAGCAAAAAGGTTCACAAAATATCGGGAGAGAAAGGGGCTGATAGATAAAGATGTGGTAAGAAGAGTTTGAGAATATTGATTGACGCGGTGTGCCTCGTGAAATTTCATTTGAGCTAAATTCCTTGTTTATTTCTTTCTTTTGAAGGTAAGAACTGATAGGGCATTTGAATACTATGAAGGGGATGACAACTTGAATGTCAATAGCATGCGTGATATCCTATTGACCTACTCCTTCTACAATTTTGACCTGGGTTACTGCCAGGTACTGAACTACGAGTTGGGGGTGTCCTTACTGTTATGTTTCCATATATTTGTATCGGGTGTTCCCACTCAGTGTATAAGTAGGAGTCCTTGGACAATCTTCTATTTCTAGCTTTTGCGTTGAATTTTCCTACTGCGTGGCTTAACTGACAAATGTTATTCTGGCTGTTAGGGGATGAGTGATTATCTGTCTCCTATCTTGTTCGTGATGGGGGATGAATCAGAAACATTTTGGTGTTTTGTGGCACTGATGGAGCGCCTTGGACCCAACTTTAACCGTGATCAGAATGGGATGCATACTCAGCTCTTTGCACTCTCAAAGGTCTCTAATTATTTCTCGAGAACACCTCTACAGTTTAAATCTTGAATTTCTTCCTTTCTAATAGCATTCAGCATCAATATTGGGATCTGAATCTGGAGCCTTTTCATGTTCACTGTCTTACAGCTGGTGGAGTTGCTCGATAGCCCACTGCATAATTACTTTAAGCAGAATGACTGCTTGAATTACTTCTTCTGTTTCCGCTGGATCCTGATACAGTTTAAAAGGTTTGTTTCTTCCTTTCTTTCCTCCTTCAGTTGAAAATATCTGAAAACAGTTTTCCATCACGCTTTGAATGTGAATTACGAGAAGCCCCAATATTGTTTTTTTTTCCCCAAAAAAGAAATCTTGTTATTGTGTTATATTTTAATTCTGTTGGCAATGTACATGTCTCAGGGAGTTTGAGTACGAGAAGACAATGCAGCTATGGGAGGTGTTATGGACCCAGTACCTCACGGAACACCTTCACCTATACGTTTGTGTGGCGATCCTGAAGCGATGTCGCAGCAAGATAATGGGAGAACAGATGGATTTCGACACTCTCTTAAAGTTCATCAATGAGCTCTCTGGGCATATCGACCTCGATTCGACAGTCAGAGATGCCGAAGCACTTTGCATATGTGCTGGTGAAAATGGTGCTGCTAGTATCCCTCCAGGAACCCCTCCTTCTTTACCCCTTGATGAAGGTATCTTATATCCTCAGGACGATGATGTTTTGTAAGTAGTACACCTTTCCTTTTTCTTCAGGACATGTTACCAAAATTTGGATTGCTTTTACAGACAGTTATTAATTCAATCGACATATGCATTTTTGTTTCATTCACTTGATAGATACCCTGGAGTCGAAAATAGTTAGGGACAGGTATTGTAATGGAGTTGATGATAAGGTAAGAATAGGATTTTTGATGAATCAGGGCTTATTACAACTCATGGTTAATTCTTGCGTAGACTACGTCCCTCCCTCAATGTTAATTGTATAACTAAAAGCAAATATGATTCGCAAAGTCTATGCAAGAATTCATCCCTCGAGATATAAATCAAGGGAAGTCCGTCCTAAAGCAGAGGAAAGAAATCAGTGAAGGCAAAACATGGGTCAAACACAAGAGTGTCTGGGTAGTGAGTAATGAGAGGCAAGGGAGATCCTATGCGGTTCATCCAGGTAGTGTCCACTTCCTCTTCTCCTTCTCCTCCTTCTCCATGGCTTCTTCTCACTTCTTCTGTAGACATAACTGGCTTATCAATGAAAGGAGTGGCTTCGACTGATTCAGGTGCATTCTGTTTCCTGGAACTGGATTTCTTGTTCAAATGGGTATTCCAGTAGTTTTTGACTTCGTTATCAGTGCGACCTGGAAGGCGACCAGCGATCAACGACCATCTGGTGGTAGAAAAGAAGAAGTATAGTAATTAAATAGCTAAAATAAAGTGATGAGAGGAGAATCAATGGTGGAAAAAGGAGAATATCCATACCTGTTTCCCAGAAGTTTATGCATGCGAATGATGAGGTCTTGTTCTTGAGGTGACATGCCTCCTCTTTTGATATTTGGTCTTAGATAATTCTTCCATCTCAACCTACAGCTTTTCCCTCCTCTCTTCAATCCTGCACACACAAACAAGAAAACAAATTTTTCTAATCTCCCAAAATTCCAACTTGATGTTTTTTTTTTGGGAGGAATTTTTGGTTCGAACCGGATCTACGAGAGATATCTGCCCAGTTTCCTTCACCATGAGTCTCGATATAGCTTTTCAATATCATGTCTTCTTCAGGTTTCCACAATCCTCTTTTCACATGAGACTTGCCTTCTTTCTCCATCCCTTTGTTCTTTGCCTCCACAGATTTGCAAGTGAAGGCGTGTTTGTTATATTGTGCGCATAAAAAGTGAGTTTCCGACTTTAACTCTTACATGTGGGGGCTGTTTGTTAAAATTATTGAATGGAAAAAGAGCACTTTTCAAACAGTGAAACTACTGTGAATTCGTGCAAACTATAGCTGTAAAAGCTTTAGTTCCTTTGTTTTTTATCCTCAGTATTGTTACAAATTATTGGCGCTTTAAGACAAACATATAGCCAAGGCAGATCAGAGGTTGGAGATTGCCATCAACCTCGATACCTGCGTATCTCCATTTCCACTTACTCTCTTTCTTCAATCACAGTGATATTTTATTCCTTTATATTTTGACCAAATTTTTTTACCAATGCCAATACCAATCTGACAATCTCCATTTTTTTATCAGTGTTGGAAACATCTCTATTAGAGGTTAGAGTTACAGAAATCAATCCAACATGTTCAAAATTGTTTGATACAAGTGAATAACCTTTTTTTGTTTTCTAAGTTTCCGTCTCAACACACTTGCAAAGAAACAGAATACCTCACAAATACAACTTGTGCGTTTACTGCACCAGTTGCACTTCAACAGTTCTTTATCGCTAAAAAGGATAAATGGCGTACGTGCAATTTCAATGTTTTGCTCAAAATAGTTGTTCGGCCGTGCATGCCCAACACTACTAGTGCATATAAGAAGTGGATAATAATTTAATATCCAACATGTCAATTTAAATGTGGTTCAATTCAGTGTGGGTTAGTATATAGTTTTTAAGAGAAAATAATCTATACTTCGTTTTTAAACATTTTTTTTTTTTGAAAACTGCTTAAGTGGGCCAATAGGAAAGTGAAACCCTTCTCTAGGATCAAACATTATTTTGCTTTCAAAGTAACGTGCAACATACTGTAACTGGGGGCTCGAGAAGAAAACATGGAGAAGAAAAATGGCAAGCCAACAAAATAAAAGAGCTCACAGAAAACCTGCAAACTTGAGACAAAACTAATCAAGACTCTATTTCATAAACTTGAGATCTTCTGTATAGTCTACAAAGGTGTAAACTTTAGCACAACACCCACCAAAACCTTGGATTCCTACTTTTGTTAGAGTGTTCCTTTCGGGATTGAAGTAGAAAACAAAGAAGCATTTAGATGTATAGTCCATGGAAAAAATAATTTCACCAGTAGTAGTCACTCCAGCGAGTGAAACATCGCCCTCAACCACTACATTTGCCGGAAAAGTGTACTTAAGTTGCAACCATTCTTGTTTCTTGGCATCCTCTAGGATACACAAACACAACCTAAGGCCACATATAGGCTTTATATAATCTGGACCTTCCCAATGCCAACTAATCACGCCTAGTTTACCCTTGTAATTTATCAGTTTAGTACTACTTGAATAAGATGGATACCTAGCGCGTGGATAATTAAGAAAGCTAAGCTCCTCATGCCTAACATCAAAGCAAGCTATCTTTTCCACTTCAATGGTTATGCAAGCTTGGTAATACAAAACCCCATCGATGCATATCCCTTCACTTGTAGGATAATGGTTAAGTAATTTGATATTCCTCCATGACAATTTTCCAGTTGATGGTAATGTCAGAATCTGCCCCTCTTCCTTTCGTGAGCCACGAAGCGAAGTGCTTATGGTCAGTACCTTGTATTGTTTGCCAATCGAATCATATCCTAAAAAGCTAGTCCAAGTGCTTATCCTTGTCAGTTTAGGTAATGTCTGGTTCTGTCCCGTGCTAGGGTTACATATCACTGGCACTTCAACTGATTTATCCTTCTTTGAGAACCGAATACTTGGGAATAAGACCAAGCCAGAGACAGGCCCAGAGATTTTTGGGCATCTGTTGCCAGGGAACACCATCTGAAGATCGGCGTCAAGTGCAAAACGAGGCTTCTTATCTGGATTCTGCGGCTGAGGCGATGAGAAGAACCACCACTCACGGTAATATTCCACGGCGAATAAGAGACGTGGCCGAGTCGAGGACCTGGTGAGGAACAAGTCAGTGAAATCTGGACGGCTAAGCATGGACGCGTAGAACTTGGATGCGAGACCAAACGTAGCGACTGACTTAGCAGACGATCTCGATAGTATCTCGAGGATGATATCCATTGGAAGGTGATCCGAGTTTTGCTTTCTCTTCTTCAGTTCTTCATCGAGTTTTCTTTTCTCTTCTTCATCGAGTTTGAAGAAGATGGTGTCTTGGCTGTATAATTTAGGGTTTTTAAGGGAAATCTCTCTCGCTCCAAAAAAAAAAAAAAAAAAAGTCGAAGATCGAATGGAGTTAGTAAAAATATTGAGAGTCGTAAAATATAGGAAAAGTAATTGGACATGTATATATGGGCTTAATTAGACCATGTTTAATGGAGCAACTCTAAAGAGATACTTAACTACTATTTAACTATTATTTTGACACCTGTTTCATAAGCAGCGGAGTTTAAACCTTTTCTTTAAACGTTGATTCTTTCATTATTGTATTAATTGGATTATTTCTTTTTTTTTTTAAAAAAAACACATAAGCACTCTTGTGAAGCGTTCCCGTAGAACATGCTCTAAGTTTGATTACAAGAACCCAATTAGCAAGTGAACAGTATCATAACAATAAACAAAACATTCTGCGATCAAGTAAAGTTTTTTATAAAAAAAATCCCAAAGTAGAAGAAAGAAGAGAATGTAACTTAGCGTATCAAGTTTGGCTTTATACAGAGATGTTAAACAGGTCAATCCGCATCCAAATAGCCTGATTTTATGCGGTTTTAATTTTTTTTGGATTTAGCGAGCTGACCCATCATGAGCTGCGGTCCTAAATTGATGTGTCTAAGTCCGACCCGCCTATATTTTATGGTTTTGCGGGCTAACCCGCAAATTCATACTTATCTTCTTCTTTTGAAAGTTCTTATGACATTTAAACTTGTAGAACCAGAAAATCTGCAAGAGGAGAATAAAGTTTTGCTCGTAACTGAATCACAATATGCAAAAGAAACAAGACTAAAGAAAATTCTAGTCAAAGTAAATTCGATGAACAAATAAACAAATTTGATAAACCTCTTATACAAAACTTCTAGCCCGAAGATGCCATAAAATTTGAAAAATCAATTAAACTGTAAGAATAGACACTTAATTTTAAAAATCAAATAAATGAATTACAAATAATGATACACATCAAAACTGGTAATTTAAGCTACAAAACCATCAAGATACAAGCAACAAGACATTCACATATAAAATCAAAGAAAAATAGATGAACAAAGCTTATTTGATAGTCCAGCGTGCAAACTAATGTGATTCTCAAGCAAAACTATTTATCAATTCAAGATTTAAGTGATACTAAATTACCTTTGCACTGTGGACAAAATAAAAATCACTTCCATGATATAGTCGATGAGCAAAACCAACACTTGATCAATCTCATTTTTTTCCTTTTTTAAAATCTTATAAGAAGAATACAGATGAATTAAAAAAAAAAGTAAACTTATGACATTAAACTGAAATTGAAACCCTAAAAAAAATACTAGCTCTTGGTTTAGAAGACAACGACCAGATTTTCTTCCAAATTCAAAATCCAATCACAGAATCTGAATCGAATTGAATGTAAAACACATACTAGTTTGATGATTCTTTGATCTCGTTGAAAAGAAGCTATCACAAAGCCCAATAGCTGAATTGTATGACTCCACTAGGCTTTGATTCACTCCATGAAACGACTACTTTGAAATCCACCGATTAAAGATGACAAAATACTTCACTTTTCGAGCTTTACAAAAAAAAAAAATTAAATTCGGCGGGTTGGACTGCAAACCCGTAGATCCACTCTGACCCGAGCCGCAAAACCCAACTTCCACACAGGTTTGGACCGTGAAACCCACATTTTATTTGGACAAATTTTATGGAAGCCAAGCCCGCACCGCTGCGGTTCTACTTGGGCTGAACCCGCAGGTCAGAGCCCAATTTGACTTTTCTACATACAATATCTTTCTCTACACGTAATAGCCATATTCTCCATTAATATGCTTGACTTCATTATATCTCACTGTATGCTAGCGGATCTAGTAAAGTAGTGGGGTCAAGTGCACCCTACTCTTTTTTTTTTTTAGATATTTAGACAAATTCAATTAAAATAAATTCAATTTAGTGATAAAATAAAAAAGTTGCCTCCAACTAATAATTTATGCCCCCAACTAAATTTTTTTTGGATCCGCCACCAGCTTGTTAGTAACTGCATAGACGAAAGAGGATAAACTTTCACCTTTAGTATATAATCACCAGCAATGTATTTGAATCAAGCGCACATGAGCCAGTTATATTGGCGAAAGAATACAAAGGACACCACTTAATGCAGTATCAAATCCGATATAGTGTAGACGATCCATCACTCCTTAACAAGAGACTTTTCATGATAATTAGTATTCACTCTTATTGTCGATAAAAGCATTTACACATCATATATATGAAAAATAATCGGGGACTGCCGGACTGGCTACTGACCGGAAATCTGAGTGTTTGCTATCGTCTCTCGAGTTTGTTGCATTCATAGCCCCGATCCAGTATATTGTTGAAGCTAAGCTAGTAAAGTACTTCCTAAAGAATTCAGCTATCCTCGTAGGCCTCTGTCTCCGGCGGAAGCGGAGGACTTTCCATTTGTGATTTTAACTTGTAAGAGTTAAGAGACGTTTTGATGAGTGTAGCACTACAAGAAAACATGCCATATTCTTACGAAAATTCCTACGAATGTATTTGGTAGGAATATTTTTCACCAATTTTTTACGCAATTATGACGAAAAATAAAAGTGGTAGGAAATAGGTAAGAAATTTCCTACGAAAAGAAAATGTCAAAAAGTGGTAGGAGATATCCAACCAATAACCTACAAAATTTATATTCGTAGAAAATACGGTCAAAATTTGGTAGGAAAGTTGTAGGATCCAATTGACTGTTACACTGGTGGAAATTTCGTAGGAAATTGTCCTATGGATTTCCTATGAAATATTATTTGTAAAAAAATCGTAGGAATTTTGTAAGAAAAGATGTCTTTTTGTTTGTCCCACATCGAAAAGTTAAGAATTTAGATGAAGAAACTGCACTATAAAAAGACCAAAATTAAAATTTTCTACGGATTTTCTACGTAATAGAGTTTGTAGAAAAAATCGTAGGAATTTTGTCCCACATCGACAATCTAAGTTAATTTGGGTGAAGAAGTTGCTCTATAAATAAGAGTCTTCACCTTCTCTCCCTCTACTTAATAATTATTTAGTCAAATTTTAGGCTCATAGTAATTAAAGAATTTATTTTGTTTTTTGTATATATTTCATTAATCAAATTTATAATTAATTTGTATTTTAAATTAAATTCAATTTCCGATATTAATTTAGTTTTTTATTTTTATAAAATTATATTGGTAGGAAATTGGTAAGAAATTAGTAGTAAAAGATTAGTAAAAAAAATCGTAAGAAATAGGTAAGTGATGTTTCGTAGGAAATTGGAAAGAACACTAATCGATAGAAAATGATAGTAATTTGGTAGGAAAGTATTACTAAAATTTCCGTAGAAAAACTATCCTACCAACATTTTCGTAGGAAATTTCCTACTATTTTCTTACGTTTTACAATTTCCGACGGCCGATTTCCTATGACAAAATTTCGTAGGAATTTGATAAGAAAGGGCTGTTTCCTACGTTTTTTTGACGATATTTTCCGTAGGTTTTCGGCATGTTTTCTTGTAGTGTAGTGAAGGAGATTTTAATTACATATGTTTTTTTTTTTTTTTGCAATGATGTATATTTTGGAGTTTAATGTTGTAACTTGTAAGCCAAAAGCTTCACATTTTCAGTTTTTTTTTTTTCAAATTTTAAATTGTCTGCTTTTTCTTTTATTGTTTTGGAATAACGGTTTTGGATATTTGCAGTCTAGTCAACTTAATTAATGAATTTAATTAAATAAAACAAAATACAACTTTTTTTCTTGGTCGAATAAAACCCTACCACAACATAACAACATAATTTAAATAAACTAAACTTTAATAATTTTTTTTCAAAAAACTTAACTTGCCTCACACACAGCTCTTCTTGTGGCCTCGTCAATTTCATACCTAAATCCTACAACTTTAGCTCTTCTGCTCTGGGATTCCTTCTTTCAAGCATTATATTTATCAAAGGCCAATAAAGCAGCTGCAAACTTCTTCATTTGATCATCATCCTCCGCTTCACAGGCTTCCAATAAGAGAGTTTTGTATCTCTTTTCCCTTTCCACATCTACTTCGAACAAATCATTTTCTGATACTTTAAGATTCTCTGGAACTTATTCAAGGGACCTCTGTTTTGTGGAATTTTCACAGATTTTGATTGTGACGTGCGCTTAGGTGAGCAAGAGCGTCCAGTCTTGGGCTTCCTCGCTAAGACACTTCGTCTAAGCCTAGTGTCGTGTGTAGCAATACGAAGCCCAGAAGTGGTATAAAAACAAAAAAATCACAATTCACAAAATATTAATAATATCATCGTCCAAATTTTATACAAAATCTGTAATAATTTACAATATCCAAAATAAATAAAAATGATAGTAAACAACAAAAGTTTCATAAAAAAACATAAATTTTTCCTATTTTTTTTTTTTTACAAAAACTTTCAAAACCAAGATTTTTGTGATTAGAGAGTTTTGTGTCCATCTGTTGCTGTTGTTGAGGAAAGTATCTCTCGATGTTTAACAAAATCAAATTGTTGATAGGGTTTATAAAGTCTTATAATTGATTTTATAAATACGTATGGGTTTTTATAAGGGTTTATAAATGGGGTTATAAATTGTGGAGAAGATTTTGACTAAACACATGAGCGTTTAGGTTCCTTAATCTTATTGGTTGCTGTTGTTGAGGATGATGATGGCGATGAAGATGTTGCTAATGATTATTTTAAGGCTGATGCGGCATGAAAGAGTTGAAGGTAATAGTGTAAGTTCATTTCATTAAAAGGTATAATAGTAAAAGTGTAATTAATAGGATGGTATTTTTGATTGAATTTTTAAGTTGGATAGTTTTGATAAGAGGTACTGTATATGGTATTTTAAAAAATTTCTCAAAAGTTAGTTATTTCGGTGACGGATCCAATAAATAATTCATAAATGTATTTTTAAAGATCATTTTTTTTTTAATTCCCACCTTTAAAGTTAGCAAAAAGGAAGTCAAAACCATAAAATCGATACAAATATTTCTCTTTTTCTTTTTCTAGACATCATATTTTCAATTATTCCTTTGAAACTTCAATCCATTTCCTCTGCTTTTTAACTTGCTGAGAAATTAAATGAATAAGATTGAGTACTTCTAAATAGTTTTGAAATTTGAACACCTGAGTTAAGTCCCTATGCAAAAAAAATATTGAAATATATAACCCTAAAGTCAACATCATCTGTTATCTATTCTGTTTAGTGACCAATGATGTTTTTACATACAAGCAGGACCGGCCCACACCAATTGCTTCAGGGCAACCATAAGGCTCTAATTTTTGGGGCAACAAAAAAAGCCCAAATTTTTTTATAAGTATGTGTAAAAATTTTATCCCACATCTACCAAGATTAAAAAATGGGAAGGAAAAATTGTCTATAAATAAGAGTCATTATCCCTATCAAATATTTTATAAAAAATCGATTTTGGCTTCAAAAAATCGATTTTGAGCTTAAAAAAATCGATTTTAGTTTAAAAAAATCGTTCTGGACTTCAAAAATTCGTTTCTGTGCTTAAAAAAATCGATTCTGAGTTTTTAAAAAATCGATTTTAAGTTTAAAAAATTAAAATTTTTCAAAACAAATTATGTTTCAATGATATTTTATATTATTTTAATATATATTTAAAAATATGCTGCAAAACAAAATTTCGATTAAGGGCATCATTTTTACCGGACGCTTTAGACGTCAAATCACTTTGGGCCGGCCCTGCATACAAACATTGTCGTTCAATCTGCTTTTCCCGAAGCGGGTTTCAGTTTGATTTGGTAGAGTTTTGGCCATAACTTCCCAGTTCATGCTGTCGATCCAAAATCAAATCAAATATAAAAAGTTATGAGTAGTAGACCCAAGCGAAGTTACCAACGAGGCGTTGTTTTTCGCCATCTCATGCTATGTCCTGGAGAAGAAAGTAAGACATTGTAACGGAGGGCCAACTGATTTGTACGCAAGGAACATAAAAACGAGATATATGGTTTAAGGGGAAAAAGGAGCAAAAATCCTCTAAATATCCAGATTTCAACAATCATTGCCTGGAAAGGAACCAGATCAGTGCCATTAGTACACTGATTCATCTAAAAATGGGACGTGAACAAGAAACAAAACCTTAACTCGGGAAGCAGTATTCATCCAAGCAGCGACCCGTCTTTAGGTGATATTCTAGCAATACAATCTGACTGCAAGAAGATGGATTCACTTCAGCTGTAAAATCTTTTCACTTCAAAACCATTCTTTTGTTTTTTCTTTTCATTACAAGAACCCAAATAGCAAAGGAACTTTTGTAGTGAAAATCCAGATTGAAATCACGAAAATAAATAACAATAAAATAAATGCTTATTTAAGAAAAGCGAAAAAATCGAGACTTTGAAAAACGATTGAAAACAGACGAAGCACGGAGTTGAGCTATGATCTCTTTTCTTAACTCAATAAATCGCCGGTATTGTGTGACCGTATGAAGCGACTTTTGGAATCTCAGGATACAACTGTGATGAGACTATTAATGCAACATCCATAATAAAATCTACGAACGGAAATTATGAATCAATTGAAATTTGTAGTTAGAGGAGAAATTACTTTTTTTAGTGCCAAAAAGTATGTTAAATTTTTGTAATCTATTTAGTCTTCTACGGTTGAAAAGTGTTTTTTGGTTTCAAATTTTTTTTTTATTTGTTTCAAAAACATGTTAAAGTACTTGTTTTGGAAATTCCTTTCTAAATGTAAAGTAAATATTTTCTAGAGAATTTTGGATTAACCTGGAGTAAACATTTCTCAAATTTTAAAATACGTATACATATGATGTCATATATATTATAAGCTAAGTAAAAATTTCGTTTGAATTTATTTTAAATTTATTTTAAAAAATAGAAAAACAAAGAAAATTGTTTAAATCTAAAATATAAAAGCACGATTATAATATATAAGTTGTACTATTAAAAAAAAATTTAAATACATGATTTTATCTGATAATAAGTAACTCCCCTCATTAAAAAAAATTGGTCAACACTCTTAAACTGGTTTAAATTAAGTTTGTTAAAAATTGCATAAAATATCATACCAATTATCATCAACAATTCAGTTTCTTTACAGATTGGGTCGTTTAGTATTGTAGATTTGTTTTGGGCTAAATTCCGAGTTCAAACACCGTTCTAGGTTTTCCAAAAAAAAAAAACACACCCTCCTCCTCTTATTTCTGTGTTTTCATATACAATTTAATTAGGTTAGGATTAGCAGTTGTTTCTTTTGTTTTTTTTTTTCTGTCATCTTTGTCTAGGTATTAAATTATTTATACTTATTATCGATGGAACTGATCGTTTTTTGGTTGTTTGATTGTTGTAGGTAACTACCTTCAGACGTTCCTTTACTTTTGCTACTCAGAAGGTCGTCTTTGAACTGACCATTTGTTTTTTCTTCTCAGCCATCTACGTCTAGGTATTTCAGAGGTGTATGCATTGTTTCGTTTCGTTTTTGGGTATCGGTTTCTTAAATGCTCTTCAGACTTTTATCTCTATCTTTTATCAAAAAAAAAAATAAGTCTCTGATGCAAGATTCTTTGGAAGTAGTAATATGTGTCATCATGATGATGACGAACCCAGAATGAAGGTGAGGAATGTGTGCAGCTTAGGATCTCCAGTTTATGAAGGCGAGTCACTTCTTGCAAAAGGCTCTTCAGAAGGGAGGGATACATATGGGCTCACACCAGAAGAGGGTAAGCTCAGTACATTTATATAATAGATAGAGACAACTTCATATAATTCCTGATCTTCTCTAGACGATAACTTCACCATGGTTGAAGTTTCAGGTGAACTGATCAACAACTTTCTGAGAAATAATCTCAGCCAGTTAACTATTACTGGGTGAGTGATGGTATTGTTTGCTTAGGAGGGTTTTCTGTAATTTTGTTTTTTTTTAATCTCTAAATTAGTTGATAATGAAATCATTCAGAATCTCTTACTTGCAAGAAGAACTTATAGAAATTGAACTTTGTGTCTTCTTTGGCAACAATCTTCTACACCTTACTGAAGGTTATTATTACTTATACGTAAAGCTGTACTTTTTTCCCCATAATCAGGAAGTGTTTTTAGAGCAGTTGATACATAACAGTTTAGAAGGTTAATTGTGTTTTGATCCTTATTTTCTACTCTAATTTTGCAGCATGATAATGCACTATATAATTTGGTTACTGATGAAGGCTACCTGAACGAGCGAGATTTGTTTTGGGAGAAATTAAACCAGGTATTTACGAATCATGTATCAGTTATCCTTGTAAAATGAAGATTGATTTTGTGTTATATTCAAAGCATCTTAATTGTTATTCCCTATGGTGTTTGGCTTCAAAAATTTCAGGTTAATGTGCGACTCTTTTCTTCGTGAATGGTGACTTCAAGGTCTTCAAGTGTGACAGTAGCAAATGGGATCAACAGAATGCAGTCAGTAATACCGCGGTATGGACACTCCTCTCCTATTTCTGGATTTTTTTTCTTTCTAAATTTCGTCGAATTTACTAATTTTGAAATCCTTTTCTTTTCTTCATCAGGATTATATCTTTGGCATCAACAGCTCATCAAAAGAAGGCATGGAGATCGAGTAAACATCTCCTACTTTCTAATTAAACACTCATCTGTTTTTAGACCATTTTTCACTTTCTTTTTAAATCTAACATTTTTCAAAGTTCATATATGGTTTCTATGGTAAAATGCAGCCTGGATCTTAAAATGGCGATGGACCTACGCTTTATTAGCTGCTTGCTTGTAATGAGAGTTGCCTCTTCTTATTCGGATATTAGAACCTTCAACGCTTTGTGTTTGGTTTCTGCTACTGGCAATGCATATGTTGATGCCTTTCGGCATATTGATCAAAAGCTTGGCCAGAACGACTTCTCTGCTTCCTTTTGGTTCGGTTAAAATCTCTGGTTTTGACCTTATGCTTGGTTCCTACGAAATTGTGGCCGCTCATTATCTCAAATTTCTGCAAAAGAATAATAATATAAAAGACTATTTGATTAACAATTTTTATAATACAATTGTATTTTACCATATTTATTAATTTCCCTCATTTTTATAATTTTGGTCCTACCAGAAGTGTTGAAATGTTAACCAGTCTGCATTTTTCTGTGGAATTGCTTCAGAATTTTCCTGCAAATTTACACATTCGTAAGTGATGTTATTTGTTAGAAACTGCTGACAAAAAAAAAATAGAAACTTACGTCTTCTGCGCAAGTAGCTTGCAAACCCTTAATTAAGTTTCCTAATCTCAAACCAGATGATCGATCCCTTAATTGCTGATGTTGCTGTCATTATTAAAAAAAATTACTTTATAACGAAAAGGAAAAGGAAAAAAACGGTTTGGATGTTAAAGATGGGTCTGATTCTTTGCCTGATTTGTACTGTCCTCGAGAAAAATAGAATAAAAGCTTTTTTCTAAGGAAAATTGTTTTTTTTTCCTTAGAAGATTAAAACATTACTTAATCGGTACTCAATAGTTTAAAAGATAAAATTTAAAAGACCAAGACGTTAGTCAAGAATCCAGGAAGCTTATTGTGATTGTATGTAGTCTTATAAAAGGATTGTTTACCTAAACTCTCGAAAATCATAGTTATAATATAAACTATGTACATCTTGTGATCAAATATAAGTAAACTATATATATTTTGGGATAGTTTACCTACACTCTAAAAATTAATAAAAATTAATACTTATTATATTAATACTTATTATACAATCTAATGTATATAATTAGATATGTGAAAGTAAACAAATAAGAAAAAAACGATGAAGAATAAAAAAGAAATAAAAGATAAAGAAAAAACTAGAAGAAAAAAAAAGTCAGAGTAGACGAAAATATAAAAAAAGTTGAAGAAAAGAAAGAATAAGATCAGCAAGGAAGATCAAACACTTTTTGTGGCAGGCAGTGTCCGGATGTGTTAGTGTGAGTAACAACCTTGCAAATCGTCATTGTAGAACCGATCGATTCTGTCCCAGATGTGGAGCACATGTTGAATCTATCAATCATCTTCTCTTTGAATGTCTTCCAGCGGTTCAGACATGGGCTTTATCAGGGATTCCGTCTAGTCCGGGTTCATTCCCGTGTGATTCTTTATACAGAAATTTTGATCATCTCCTTTGGCACGCAAAGGAAGAAGGAACAATGGAGAATTCCCTAGATGCATTCCCGTGGATAATCTGGTATATCTGGAAAGTTAGAAACGACAAAGTATTTAATAGTAAAGAAACCTCCCCCATGGACACTCTGCATATTGCCACCAATGAAGCAGAAATTTGGAAAGTTGCACAAATTGCCTCTCATGTAGGAGAAGAAAGTGTTAATGAGCCGGATCTTTCCCAAAATGTTGTGAGTAACAGTCCAAGAGCTCAATGCCAGATTGATGCCTCATGGGCAAGCGAGGATCCCAGGTTTGGGGGTGGTTGTGTCATTGAGCTAATGGATGGACAAAGATATTTTGGCACCTTTGCGAAGGAAAAAACCATATCTCCCCTTCATGCTCAATTTACTACGTTGCTATGGGCCACAGAAGCTGTCCTGCAGATAGGAGAAGTGTCAATGGCATTTGAATCAGACTGTCTCCAAATGGTTAAGATGATCGAGGATGAAGAAGAATGGCCTGCCTTGGCTTCGGAAATTGATGAATATTATCATTTGAAGTCTTCTTTTGTTCACTTTACTATTTCTTATATCCCTCGTACTTTAAATGTCTGTACTGACTCCCTTGCAAAAGGGGCTCGAGCCCGTGGTTTTGCATTTTCCCATGTAAACCCTGGAAAATAAGGAGAAGATGGACATCACACTACAGTGAAAAAGAATAAAGAGAAGACGATGAGGATATTAGAGTTAAAGAACAAAAAAGAAAAAAAAAAGATTATGAAGAAAACAATGTAAAAGAAGAAAAAAAAACGGAAGACAAAAAAGACAAAGTTAAAAATTAAAAGGTGAAGAGCAAAAGAGACAAAAAAAAAACAAAAGATAAAGAATTTGGATAGGACAAAAAAGACCAGGAAGAAGTAAGAATAAAAAGATGAAGAAAGGCTAACTAAATTGAAAATAAGGAGATAAAAATGATGAAGAACTCAAAGAATACAAAATGATGAAGAAGAAATTAACGGCGATGAAAAATAAGTCGAAAGATATGAGAAAGAAAAAAAAACTAAAAGATAAAGAAGAAAGAAGAAAAATTAGGACAAAAAGATGATGTTGAAAAAAAAGAAAAAAAAAGAAGATGAATAATTTGAAGAAGAAAAAGCATACTACCAAAAAGATTGTTTATCTAGGAGATACGAACCGATAAGAATGATAGATAATTTCCATAAAACAGAGATAAATTATTGGCTGTAGAGAATGAAGCATTAATATAATCCATAAATTTAATGTATACAAATAATAACTAATTTATAGATGATATTTAACATAGTATCAAAATTACACCTGCGTTATGATAACATGGTTCTGTATCTGCACTTGCAATAAAGATATTAACTGATAAGAAGGAAAGACAATTCCCGTAAAACAGGAAGAGAGTTCAAGATTAATTAAGATATGAAACTTAATATGGTATCCGATCTAAGCTACTAAATAGATTATTTACCTATGCTCTCATGTCATCGTTTTATGCTAACACTAACAAAAAAATAAGAACCGACAAGAAAGAGATACAGTTTTCTTTGGAAAAAAAGTTCTGGATAGGGTGAACAAAAATTTAAATATACTCATAAATTTAATATATACAATAACAAACCGACAAAAAGAGTAATAATTTCAGCAAAACAAAGAGAATTGCTGATTAGTTATAATAAAAAGTTCAAATAATTCATTGAATAATGATTATTTTAAAGATTAATCTTAACATGATTTTAAAACAATCAAAATAGTTTTTTTAGTTATTGTAATTACTTGATGAAACTTTGCGCGGGCAAACACCTAGTTTTTTTTGTTATACGCGATAGTAATGGGTAATTCCGACAAAAAAAAATTATAGTTCATGTATTACAACTCAAAATCGCAAACCTGGAGTAAACATTTCTCAATTTTAGGGTTCTTACCCTTATGTTTGCTGATTCGATTTGCTCGGTTTAGGGTCTTGCTCAGTTTTTTTTTTTTTTTTTGAAATCTTTGATTGGAAAACTGAATCTAGGCTACGGATTCGCTGATTCTGTGTTTTGATTTTGATTTTGACTGTCTACGTCATCACCTTGGTTTAGAATTGTGTTCTACCTAGAGATTCCAGTAAACAATTTTTGCCGTTGTGAATTCTGATTAATTCGTTTAGCGAAATCAGAAGCTCACTCTGTTTTGGTGGTAACATATGCCTAATTGGGAGCTGAGCTCCGATCCACTAGAAAAGGACTCTCAGAGCCTTTCGTGGAGGTGGAGGATGTAGAAGCCAAAGACCTTAATTTATTCAGAAGTGCATTGCGCAACCCAAAGGCTACACCTTCTGCAGCCGAGCTTCTTCGTGACCCATTCTTTGATAATGACAATAATCCTAGTGTTTCTTTATGATGAGATACAATGACTACTTTAGTTTTGTTTCTGTCTTATTGTTGAAGTTGAAATCCTTGATTGAATCTTCAACAAGAAGAGAAGGAGATATCAGTGAAAAGGAAAAGAAAGAAGAAGCGCAAAGCAAAGAAGAAGCGATGTCGTGTGTCTCGTAGAAGGAAGAAGAAGAGAAAAGTCAACAAGAAGGAAGCAAAGTCAACAAAAGAAGAAGTTGGGCTTTGTGTGGTTTTGTCCTAAAGAGAGTAATGAGCTGCAGGATAATTAGGCCCAAAAGAAAGAGTAAAGAGTGAAAGAGAGAAAGAGAGAAAGAGAGAAAGAAACCAAACCAGAGTGAATGAGAGAGAAAGAGGAGAATGTCAACATGGTCTGAGAGAGAAAGAGGAGAATGTCAAACAAACCAAATCAGTAAAAGCTGAGGTTGATGATTCTAGAAACCAAACAAGCCACTAAGGTTGAGATTCAAGGAGCCAAACTACTAAGGCTAAAAAAGCTAAGGTGATGACTCAAGGAAGAGCCAAACAGACTACAGTAAGAGAAGCTGAGGTGATGGTTCAAGAGTCAAAAAGGTCCAAAGCTAAATTGGTTCTAAAAATCAGAAGAAACAAATTGGTGTTCAAAGAGGACACCAAGCAAAGAAGAAAACATGTTCTGGTTAAAGTTTATGAGAAGCAGAAGTATGTGCAAGAAGTTCAGAGAATCAAACAGTCCAAGATTAAAGAAAGTCAAGGTGATGGTCAAGAGAACCAAACAGACTATGGCTAAGAAAATCAAGGTGATGATTCAAAGATCTGAAAGGCACAAGCTGGTGATCAAAGCAGAAACCAAGCAGAAGAAGAAAGCCTGCTTACCTAAGAGAGAAAGGGAGCAGAAGCTGGCTGGAGAATTAAGCCGATGAAGACGTGACGGATGCTCACGGTAATGACGAGAAGAAGATCGGGTCTGAGAAGAAAGAGAAGAAAAAGAAGAAGGAGAAGAAAGATGAGGATAAAGAAGAGTTGTCATCACCAAAGTTGGAAAATCAGAGAAGAAGAAGTAGCTCAACAAAAGTGAGCAGAAGCTGGTTGCAGAAGCAGCTGGTGGAGAAGTGAGGAAAGCTCACAAAACAGAGGAAGATTGTGAAGAAAATCAGCCAAAAGATGGCAAAAATATTCGCAAAGAAAAATGAAGATGGATCCATAGAGATTCAAATTTAAGAGGGAGCAGAGCCGGCGTACAAAATGGAGGAGGCGCCAAGGCGGTGGTTCCATTCACAAGCAGCGACGAACTTGAAGATTCAGTTTTGTCGGAGAGGGAGATCGGCGGAGAGACTGATGCTCGTCGGAGAAGAAGAATGAGAAGTGGTTACTTTTGCCGATGAAGAAAAGAAAGTCTGAGTCCGGTTAAAGATGAACAATGAGCAATGGGAATCAAATCCCTAAATAGAAAGAGGGAGTTTTCAATCAAGGATTCAAGAGGGAGTGTTGAAGTTGAAATCCTTGATTGAATCTTCAACAAGAAGAGAAGGAGATATCAGTGAAAAGGAAAAGAAAGAAGAAGAGCAAAGCAAAGAAGAAGCGATGTCGTGTGTCTCGTAGAAGGAAGAAGAAGAAGAGAAAAGTCAACAAGAAGG